AAAATTGAAATTTATTAATATTTTATAAATATGTTAGATTACAAGAGAAAATGAAAAAAATAATATTATAGAAATACAACTATTATTTATATTCGTATAAAAAAAACAATAAACATAAAATGGAAAAGCTAATTACAATAGTTAATTTGAAATACAAAAACTTATTAATAATAACAAAATATCATTTTTTTATAATAGTAATAGATTTTGAAAAGAGAAATAAATATTTAAACTATTTTTATTTTCTATATCAAATTTATGTGTGTAGTCATGATGATTTTTAGATTTTATTCAAAGAAAAAATAATTAAAAAAAAAACTCAAAAATAATAAAGAATTTAAGTTTATGGAAATAAAATAAATGTTAGTTCAGGATTTTTTTAAAGCAATTTTAATAAACTTTAAAATAATTTAAATATTTTACGTTAGGTCATCATTAATTTTTAAATTTTATAGGACGATTAATTAAATTAGTTTTAAAAGTTTTCTGATTATATGTCATTAAATTTAATTTAATAATAAATAAGCTTGATAATAATTACAATTTTTAGGATTTACTAAATTTAAAAGTTTTTAAAGTAATAGTTAGTTATTATTTAATTTTCATTTACAAATTTAATTTTTAAAATATATATATTTTTTTCAAAATAATAGTTATTTTTAATTTATTTTCCTTTAAATTAAAAAGTTAGTTTTTTATGTTTGTTTCGTATTATATTTTTGTCTTAATTCCAAAAAACTATTTTTAAATAAACTTAAAAATAACTAACTTTTTAATTTTTATAAATGATTTTTTATTATAATTTTATAAAGCTTATGTATCATATTTTACACAAATTTATTTAATTATGCATATTTTTTTATTTCAAACCACAAAAATATTGATTTAAATAATTACAAATTATTTCAGATAAAGACTAAATTTTATAAACCTAATATAATTTTGAAAAATTACATATTTGATTAAATATTTTAATTAACTTAAATTTTTATAAAAACAAATTTTATATATTCAATTATATATATATAATTTTATATATTTATATATTTTAAAAGTAAACTAATTATTGATTTTTAAATGTTTTTTAAACTAATTTAATTTTATCAAGATTAATATTTTTATTATAATTAGTATTTATAAAAATCGATTAATATAAATATATATAAAATAATAGATAATATCTTTCATGTCAATTCCATATTATGTAATGATTAATGAAGCTAATTAATTGCTTAGATGTACTAATTTTTACTTTTTATATGACTTTACTGTTCATAAGTCTACATATATTTAATTTATATTATTATAAAATATTTAAATATTATAATTACTTCAATATTATTATTATTTTTAATTGAATGCTGATTAGTGAATGATTAATTTTATGAGTGCAAAATAATTTCATAAGAATTCATTAAATGCTTAGGTACTAAAGGCTTAAATATTAATTTAATTTAATAAATTAAATATATATTTATAATACTCGATTTAAAGATTTAATTTTATTCTAAAATAATCCTAATTAGGGTTCTTTAGGTTTAGTTACTTTATATTAATAATTATCTCTTTTTTTTATAGGTGATTCCAAAATTTATTGTTTTTGTTCTTTCATTTATTTTGCTGTATATTGCCTTTTTAAATATTAAGCAACGCCTTTTGTATTCATTTTTTCTAATGTTTCATCGTTTTTTACATATTTAATCTTTTTGTTTTGTTTATTTTATTTATAAATTTTTAATTTTTTTAAACTATTTATGGTTTAAAAGTGCATTCTTAAAAATCTAATTCGTCATAATTTTAAGATTATATCTTTTATTCAACTTACTTTTTCCATTGTAAAGTTCTTTCAAATATAGGCTCTTGACAATATTCAATTTATCTATTTCGGTAATTTATTTATGGATGAAATGTGCAACCTATAAATTAAATTTAATCTAATTCTAGTTTTTTTCTGATATTAATTAATATTTTTTTCATTTAGTTATTGGCCTTAATCATAGAGTTTTTCAAATATCTAATTTTAAATAAAATTAAAATTTCAATTTAAATAATTATTTACATTTTTATACATATTTAAAATGATATTTTTAATATTTATTATTTATTTTATAAAATTTATTTAATTATCAAAATTTTCTAAAAAATAAATAAAAAATTATTTTATTAATAAAAAAAACTAAAAATAATATATATATATATATTTATATATGTATATATGTATATATATAAATTTTTATATTTATTTATATATATATATATATTTTTATTTATTATAATTTATTTAATTCATATATTTATAAAAACATTTTCTTAATTCTTTATTTTTTTATTTATCATTAATTATAAATTATATAGTTTTCATTTTTAATTAACTTCTTAATATAAATATAGATTATATTTTTTAAATTACATTAATTATATTTCTATAAAAATTATCGAATATATTAATTTTATATTATATTTTGTTAATATTATTATTTTAAAAAGATACATTTAAAAGATAATATAATCTTATTTATATTTTTAATCTTATTATGTTTAAAATGAAAAATTAAACATCTATATTGTAAACAAAATTTTAAATAAATCTTATATTAAATTATAATCATTATTTATATTAAGAAACAATTATTTTTAAATTTAATATTTATTTTATTTTTGTTCTAAATAAATTAAATATATTTTATTTTATAAATAATTTTACTATATAAATAAAAAAAATAAAAATTAAGTTTAATATTTATGCATTTTTTAAATCTAAAAATTGAAATTTTTTAAATAGTATAATATTTTTTTTATTTTAGTGTTTTTTATATAAATCTATTTATTATGTATGTTTATTAAAAAAAAATACCAGACATTTTTTAAACATTGTTTAATATAAATTTCGAATTTCAATATATAAAGAATAGATATTTTTTTTCTTATTATTATTTATATATTATCAGATTTAGTAATTTCATTAAAAAGATGTAAATTTCATATAATAGTATAAATATATGATTTAGACTCAATTTTAATATCTTTAAATATATCATTATATTCATTTATTTATCCCATTTATTAAATTTAGATAATTTTACAATCGATACAATCAAACATATTAATAAAAATAAGTTAATTTTAAACAATTAAAAGTATTATATGTGATTTCGTAATTATAAGTATTTTATTTTTTCAAGCATAATATTATATGATTTTTGTATTAAAATCATGATTTTAATCAAATTTGTTTATAAAATTATTTTAGTTTAAACAAATATAATTTCTACAATATTAATGATATATAATAGCTAACAACGAATACGATATTAAATAAGGAAATAATGTATTATATGAAACAATAAAATATAATATATTACTGTAGGAGCATTAGTTTAGTATAAAATTTCTAAAGATAAACCTTATATTCATTTAAATTATATCAAGAATAAATAGCGTGAAGTTTTTTCAAGCAGTCTAATAAATAATTATAAATAATATAATAAATCCTATTTAAAATTAAATTTCGCAAGTATTATTTATCAAGGTGCTGCATCTTAAGTTACTGTACTTTTTCGCTTTTGCAATTTAATCTTTAGGATTAAATGAAATTTTCTATGTGATATGTGTTGAAGAATGATTTTAAGGGTATAATTCTTAAAAAATATAAAATTTAATGATATATTTGCTGCTTGAGATTACCATTACTACTTTTGGATTAGCTATTATTATTAATATATAGTAGGTAATAACACTTATTATTTTTGTTTCAGTTTTACTTTTCCTATAAAATAAGAGTTTGGTCAAAAATTTTTTAGTGGAAAATAATTTTTATTATTGGATTTTCTTATATAAATATATTTAGATTTTTGTTAAATTAAAAGATAAAGTAATAATACTATTATTTAAATTTTTATTTCTTTTGATTTCTGGATTCATAATTTATAATTCTGATATTATTCTTTATAAAATAGTTTATTTGTAAAAAAATACAGAAATTAAATATTAGGAATTAATATTTAATTTACTAATTTTTCTTATAAAATTATTTGTATTATATTAAATATAAATAATAATGGTTTTATTTAAGATAAATAAAATTAATAAAATAATTTTTTCAAATAAATTTTATATAAGCTTGATATAAAAAATAGTGAAAAATAAATAAAAATATAATTAAATTTAATCTTTTTATATAATAAAATGTATTATAAAATTATAATATATATTTATATATGAATTTTTTTTTTTTTTAATTTTATGTAGTAAATGCAAAATTAAAAATAAGAATATTTTATTTATATTTTTAAATATATAAATAAAATAAAACTAAATTTATTATATTTAAAAATTCTTTTAAATTTTAAATAATATGCATATATTAATATTTATATTTTTAAAATATTTATTAAAAATGATTTTTTTTTTTACCTATTATTAATAATATTAATATTTAATTTTTTAACTATTTTTTTGTTTTTTATTAAACAATGCATTCGATAATGTATAATTATTAAATTAATTAAAATATCATGATTACTTTTTATCTATTTTTTTATATTTTTAAAAAATAATATCTGTTTACTGATTTAGGTTATTAATTTTTGAATTCTTAAACTTTTTATTAATCTTAATTATTTTATTTTATTATAATGTTTCTTATATTTTATATTAATTTTTCTTTATATATTAATTATAATAATATTATAAAAAAATACTTTATTATTTATTTTTTGAATTAATTATGAAAATATAATAATAAAAAAATATTATAAAAAAAAATATTTAAAATTTATATATATATATATTTTTTCATTATGTAAAATTTATTTATTTTATTTAAAAAAAAGTTCACCATTCTAAATCTCCATTTAACGCATTAAAGACATATTCATGTCCTCTAATAACCCCAATAATATTTTTAAATTCAACTTTGAACTTTTTTGAATTTTTTTTTTTAATTTATTAGTAATGTCCAAATAAGAAATTCGAAGTTTTGAATTCTTAATTTTCGTTCAAAAAGCAATTATTTGCATTTTAGTTTTAATTATTTTGATTCTGGATGTCTCTGTCTCCTTCTTCTGATTTTTCTGAAACGTTTGAAATGTCGTCTTAATCTTCATCGTGCTAAAAAATACATATTTTTTTTTAAATAAGAATTATTACTTCATTTTACAATCCAGCGTTCTTCTTTTTCTTCTTAGTTTTCGCCTATCTCATTTTCGATATTGTCTTCCAGTTTTACATTTTGAAGAAAATTCTGTTTTGCAATTTTATTTTTGCTTTACTATTTGATCAAATTTAAAGCTTGGGTCGGAGATGTAGTCAATTCTTAGTTCAAATTATACTTTTAAAATCCTATTTTTTAATGGCTTTATAATTATTCATTTTAATTAAGAGTAAAAGTTGAGGACTATTCTTAGTCTTTCTATATTCCGAAAAAAGGACTACTTTGTTGCCCTGTGTGTTCCTATTTTATATCTTCTTAACCTAAAATAGCAACTGATTCTATTTTTAAATTGATATTTATAAAAATACGTATATAAATATAATTTATATATTTCTTACATGTTTATTGTTATAATTAGGATAATTCTTAGGTATTTAGCTTTACTTTTTTATGAGGTTCACTATTAAGTTAGTTATTATTTTAGATTGTTGACATTATTTAATTCACAGTATTGTCCTTCAAGTTTATTTTTTGTTAGTTTTTTTGTTGGTTACTTGAGATGGTTCTAATTTGGGTACTTTAGTCTGTTTTATCAACCTTTTTATTATTATAAATATATATATATTTATTTACAAATTTACATTATATTATAAATCAGCAGTTTCTTCAAAAACATTTTTCTCATCTAAGTTTTTTTTCCATAACTTTATTTTTTTAAAAAAAAATTAAAAGTTATATAAAAAAAAAAAATCAATTGATATAAATCTATAAAATAAATAGAATTAAATGTTTTTGAGATGACATTTTTATTTGATTTGGTTTTATATTTTTTTAAAATTAATTTTTTTATAAAAATACGTTAATTAAATTATCAATAACTTCTTCAGGTAAATCATCCCATTATCCTTATTAAGATTATTTAGTTAATTATTGATTAAATTCTTCAATAATTTTTTCATATAAATCTTTTATGTTTTTTATTGAATTAGAATTATTATTATTGTTATTATTGCTCATTTGCTTTTGTTTTTAATTTTAATTATTATTTTGTTAATTTAATTTGTATTTGTGTTTTTTTTTTAAAAAAAATATATATTTTTTTTAATTAAAATTAATAATATTTTTATTGTTCCACGGGGAAATAGTATTTAAAGAGAACCGAAAAAATCAGAATTTATCAGAAAAATAATAATTTAAAAAATAAATTAAATAAGAAAAATATCCAAAATAAAAAATATTTTATAAAAATAAATATAATTAAAAAAATATTATTAGTAATACTTTATTTTTGTAATTTAAATAAATATTTTTTAAAGAATTTCTTTTTTCAATATACAATAGGCATATTATATATTTAAAATATTTTATTATTAAACTATACAAATAAAATTATTAATATCATTGTACATATTATTTATGTTTATTTATTTCAAAAATATTTATGAAATAAATTGTTTTTAAATTTAAAATCTTTATTCGGATAATCTTGTTATTTTTTATATGCTTAAAAATCATATAAAATATATAACATATATTTAAATTTAAATTTGGATTAAAAATAATAAATTTCACTTAAAATATCTACTTATATTAAATTAAAAGTATAAAAAAATGATAAATATATATATTGATGATTTTTCTTTTATTATTCTTTTGATACAAATTTTGATAATATTTTTTTCGCAATTTTATATTTATATTTTTTTAAAAAATATATTCTATAATTATATAAATAATTTTAATAAATATATAAAGAATTAAATTGAATTTTTTAAAAGTAAAAAATATTATGTATATAATAATAAATTATAAATTTTATAATTATTTATTTAAAAGAAATTTTGGTAAAAGATTATAAAGTTTATATATATATATTATTGTCTACATAATATTTTTATTATCAAAAGAAAAAATCATTTAAGTGATTCTGCTTAATAAGAAAAATCTATAAAAATAAAAACAATAGATTAAGTAAATTTAAATAAAAATATAAAAACCTTCATATTTAACTTAATTTTCTAATGAGTTTATTTCCGATCCATAAGATTATATATCTAATTTAGCAAATTCTGGGTCAAAATATTTAGTGTCAAGTTCATTTTTAATTTTCGGAATAAAAGGTGCCACGATTTATTTATTAATTAGATAATCCCATTTAATTTTAGCAAAAAAGGGATGTTATTTTATTTAATTACTGCTTTAATATCCTAACCTTTGATCAGGATTTTTTTCTAAAAGTCCTGAAATAAGATTTTTAAGCTCTGGAGAAGCTTTAACACTATCTTTGATTTAAGGGAAATTATTATATTTGATACACTCAAATAATTATTTTCTATCTTCTTTATAAAATGGTGGCAAACCAGTAATTAACTCATAGATAAAGCACCCAAGGGTCCACCAATCAACAGGTTTTCCATGTCCTTTTTTTAAAAGTACTTCAGGAGCTAAATATTCAGGAGTTCCACAAATAGAAACGGCTGTTTATCCATGTATATTTTTTTTTGAAAGACCAAAATCAGCAATTTTCAAATATCCTTCTTTATCAATTAATACGTTTTCAGGTTTTAAACTATTTATGGATATATATATATATATATATATATATATATATATATATATATATATATATATATATATATATATGTAATTGTTTATACTTATTATATTTTATTTTTTTTATACTCTCTATATATAATATTCCTTTCATGTAAATATTCTAATGCTAAAACAATTTAAGAGGCATAGAATTTAGTTGTGTATTCATCAAAGCGTCTGTATTTGCATAATAGATTAAATAATTCCCCTCCTGGGCAATATTCTAGCACAAAAAATAATTTTCTTTCATTTTAAAATGAATAATGGAGCTTTATTATAAATGGATGAGTGGCTGATACTAATATATTTCTTTCTATTTTTGTATGTTCGACTTATTTTTTATGCTCTATGTAGGATTTTTTTAACATTTTTATTGCATATATTTTCCCGTCTGATTTCTTTTTTACTAATACTACTTTGGCGTATGATCCTTTTCCAATAACTTTGATTAAATTAAAGTCTTTTATTGATATCTTTTTATTTTCATTTGGGGGATTTTCAAATAAATCTCTTTATTCTTGTAACTGAATATCATTGTAATAATTGTTTTGTATTTCTTCGTATTCTAGATCCATTTTTTTTTTGGTTAATTATTATTTATAATAAAAAAAATTATTTTATATATAAAAGTAAGAATTGCATATATAATCAATTATTTTTTATCTTATATATATTCATAAATTAATGGATTAAAAATTTTTGTGTACTTTTTTTTTATAAATTTTATATTTTACTAAAAGAAATCTTTTAATTTTAATACAATTTTTTTATTAATTTATTAATTTAATGTATATATATTTAAAAAATTAAATATAAATAAAAATAAATAAATCTAAAATTATATTATATTTATAAAGAAAAAAAAATTAAAAAAAAAAAGAAAAATAGATCAAAATGGTAACATAAAAACAAATATAAAAAATAAATATAAAAATATTTAATAAAATTCTTTTAAATTTTCTAGGGAGCTCATAAATCCTTGATTTTCAAAAAACGTTTATCTAAAAAAATTAAATAGAATCGTCCTTTACCTAACTGGTATAGATATAAAACTGATAACAATATTAGGTATTAAAATAATTTACATTTTTATTAATATATTTTAAATCTTTATTTTATAGATATAACTCTAAAAGAAGAAACTGGAGAAGAACTAAACTTAAAGTTTATTGAACAAAAATCAAAATATATTTATTTTTAGATAAATATTAAAAGTATATAATTTAGTTAGTTGCATGTTAAATTGTTTTAATTTTAACAAATATTTTATTTAAACATTTTAAAATAAAATTTTACTATATAAAAGCATTTTATTTTTTTTGATATTCACAAAAATTTACATATATATTTATTATAATCAATTGATATTTTTAACAAAATAAAAATATTTAAATGATTAATTGTTTTTTATATATTAATTTTATAATAATTATTCTTTTATTTATTTGTTTTTCTAAGTTTTAGTTATAAATTGTGTGATTTAATATTATATTACATATATTCATTATATATAAAAATTAAAAATCTCTTATTCTTTTTTAAAATTAATATCATATTTTATCTTCTTTAGATAAAAATAAATAAAATATAATTTTAATAAAATTATAAATACTTGGATTATGTTTTTAAATAATACTTATTCTAAAATTTAATAATAAATATTTTTATTATTATATATTTTTAAAAATTTTATTATATTATAAAGATATAAAAAAATATAATAGATAATTCATTAAAGTGATTCTAACTCATCATTTAATCCAGATTTTTAATTTTCTAATTCTTAGTTTTAAATTCTAATTTCTCTTAATTTTTCTTCAATATTTTCAGCAGTTAAATTAGCATTAAATAATAATTCTAAAAAAAAAAAATTAGTATTTTATTGAATAAAAAATAAAATTACCTGCAGGACGTTATCTATTTAATCCTTGATGTCCGAAAATTATAGTTATACCAATACCCATTAATGCAATATATAAAAATTATAAAGTGGAAACTTCAAAGTTAGGTCTTGTATCTAAAGGCTTTAAAAAATGATATAATTTTAATCATAATAATTTTATTTATAAAAATATTACATCATCGTTTGTTAAATAGCCATGAGGTTCATTCATTAAAGGATTTACTTCATCAGGAATATAATAAGGATCAGCAAAGTATAATCTTTCAAATCTAATTGATTTTTATTTTATTTAAAATAATAAGATTAATTTTTAAATTAAACAAAATAACAAAAAAATATAAAAATAAAATAATAAAATTATATATTTTCTTTTATTTAAAAGAAGAATTGTATTTGTATAAATAAAAAATTACGATAAAAAGGGTTTATTTCTAATATGTGCATAAGGGTCAGTTTCATCATGATGTTCATGCACATTAACATCGTCAAATCCATAAATAGAAACCAATTCTTAATCCTTATTTTATATGTTTTTTTTGAAATAAATTATATATTAATGATTAATTATTTTAATTTATAAATTTTTTTACGAAATTTTAATTTGAAATTATGTTTTATCTCTGACTAAATATACACTCTTTTTTTATTTATTAGTTATTAAATAAATTGTTATTTTAAAATTTTAGATTTATTTTTTTATTATTTTTACATGCCCATGATCATGATGTTCATTGTGACCATGATGATCATGATGATCGTTATGATTTACTACTGCACTTCCAAACCAATTTTTTATGTTTTGGCTTATAATAGATTATTAGTTTGCTTTTCTGAATAAACTATATATGTTTCTTGAAATCATTTATAAATTTATTTTCTTTAATTTATATATATATATATATATATATATATATATATATATATATATATTTTATATATAATTTTAATTTATTTATTTCTTTATTGAAAAAATATATTAATATATTTTTTCTATTATTAAAGTATATTTACAATAAAAATAAATGTATTTTTTATTAATTTATTTAAAATAATCTTTAAATATTAAATAAATAATTATTAAGTTGATATTAATATTTCTAAATTTATATAAATATTTATTTATACTAAATTGTTTAACTATATATTATTAATAATTTATAATACAAGAAAAGAATTAATTATATTTTATTAAAATAATTATTTTTTTAAAAAATATTATTTAATAAATATATTGAAATAATTAAAAAAAAAGTAATTTACAAACATATGTAATTCAAATATATTAAATGTTTTTTGAATTAAAAAAAAGGAATTAAAATAATAAAATGAAAGATAATAATAAAAACAAATTTGAATAAAGTCACAATCAAACTGAATTTACAAAAATATTAAGTTAAGAAAGACAACAAGGAATATCTTAATTAAATATGACCAAATAGTGTTAGGCTTTATCATTGTAATAATCGACTCGACTATTATAAAGTGAAAACACATTATAAATAGAAAAACGCTTAGAAGCGTTAGAATTCAATATCAGTAAATTATTTAGTAAATAAGAATCATTAATACCTTTGTTTGAAATATTAGATATATATCCATAATAAATCAAAAGCTTAAATAAAAAGTAAGTAGAAATAGAAAAAAAATAAAAATATTAGAAGAAAAGAAGAAATAAAATCTTATGATCAAATATTTGGGAAAATAGAGAAAAACTTAAAAAATGCATTTTCTCAAATAAATAATTTAAAAAAAGATTTATAATTATTGGAATAAAATAATAATGAAAATAATGGATTTTTTTAAAACAACAGTAGCAATATTAATAAAGGTGATAACTATGTTGATTAGAAATTCGAAAAATTTATTAGGGAAGTAAAATAAATGCTTGGTGAATTTTAGGGAAAAAATTAAAATTTAGAAATTAATTTTGATTCAATTTTAAATTAATAATAACTTAATAATAATTAAGATAATTAAAATTTAGAAAATTAACAATAAATATAAATTGATATTTCGAATATTTATAGGGAAATAGGGGTTCTAAGAACTGAAATGGAGCTTTTATTTGATAAACCAAGGGCTGAGTTTTTAGAAGAATAGTTGGAAAAAAATAAAAGGATATTCTACATCTGATATCGAATGTTAACTCTTTGTTAGCGCTGTTTAATAAAATATGTATTTTTAAGAAATTGAAATATTCGATAGGGTTAATTAAGATAGACTTATGGGAGAATTAGATAATATAATAGAAAAATTATATTAAATTAGAGAAGATGCCTGTGTTTTGGAACAAAGGGATTTTACTAATAATAATTATTAGGATGAGAATAATAATAGGGATAATGATAATGAATAAGTTGAATATATTTAACATGAATTAAAGTATTTAGATGATCGAATTTTCAACCTTAAATAACAATACCATGGCACTAAAAAAAAATATCTTTGTGATTCTAGAAAATTGGAAGATAAAGTTAGTAAATTTTTAGGACAATATAATATTGCAAGATAGCAAAGGTAATTTTAAAATCCGATTATTGTTTAGATTTGTAAAATTGATTTATATAAGTAGAGAGTTAATAAAATTAATGAATCTATTGGCAAAAACGTTTAAATCTTAAGTAATAAAATTAAATAAGCTGAATGCATATTTTCTAAAACTAAATAAGTGTTAGTTAACATTAAAAAAAAGAATAAAATTAACAATTATGAAAAGAGAATTATATTTACAATTTATGTATATTTATTTAACTTATAATTTTACTATTTTACTATTTTTAATTTTATAATTTATTTATTTAATAAATACAAAGAATAATAATATTTTAACTTTGAAAATAGTTTATTTAATATTTTTCATTTTAATCAAGAGTAAATTAAACTATTTATATTTAATTTGTTTTTGAGATATGAACGTAAATACTAATTTTCTCTGTGTAGTTATATAGGGATTAAAAGAATAAAGCTGTTGACATATTATGAATCTCTTTATAATTATTTATATTTATTAAGCCAGACAAATAAATAAAATAAAATTAATAAAAAATAAAAGACAATCATTAATATCATATTTTATAATAGCAACTTATCAATTCCAATTTAAATAGTTTTCTTTTAAAAATAAAAATTATAAATAAAAAATACAAATTAAGGCAAACAATAAAAAATTACACTTTCTTGTTCAAACAATTTAAAAGAAACTCTCTAAATAATGATTCTCATATATTAAAAATCGTAATTTTATTTACTATTTTATGCACTCATAAATAATATTTTGGCTTCATAATCTTTTGTTTTTCTAGTTGTGTAGAATGTTTCAATTTCAGATTCCATTTTTGATTCAATAAAAATAAAATAATTTTAATATCCTAAATTAAGTGTACCTCTTCCTGAATTTTCACATATTTTATATTAAATAGTATTTCTAATTAAAAATAAAATAAAAATTAATAAAGAAAAAAAAATACTAATTAAATTGCATGACATTTAAACAAATATTATCATTCATAATTTTAGTTACAAAAGTTTAATATTAAATATCTAATTTTCCAAAAAACAAGAAATTTTCCATAAGTATATCTGTTGCATTTTTCTGCTTGTATTAAATAAACTATTAATAAGTATCTTCAATTTATTAATCTTAGTAATTATCGATTATATATTTTAATAAGTCAAAATAATAGAGACTATAATAAGTATGATTATTCATTAAATTATGCTGTTTTATATGTAAATTTTTCAAAATTTCCATATCTTCAACATATAAAAATATTGGATAATCTTTTAAAGCCACAAATGTAAGAAAAAATAAGGCAATTCCAAAAATTTTAAGAAAGTAATTGATTTTATTAATTTTTACGCCTTTATATAACCTTGTTCTATTTACGGATCTTGAATCTTACATTTTTTTATTTTAATTTTACATAATTTTTTCGTTTAGAACAATTTTTTCAACTTCTTTTGTTTAAGAAGATGTATTTTCAATAGAATTTAAACACAAATATATCCTTTTATAATGTTCTGAATAAAAATCGATATCTTTAAGGGATATTTTAGTAAAAAGAACTAATGAATCGTGTATTTTAACATTTGATTACAGAAGAGAAGGATATATAAATATAAAAGACACAAAAATAAATATGAATTATAAAGACCATTTACTTAAAAATTAAGTTTTTATCGTTTCTATTAGATTTATTAGAATTTAGTCCAATTTTTACATATTTAAGATATTTTATTATATCATATTTTGCTTATTTTGTTCTATAAAATATAGATAATCATTAGTTTCAAAATTCTAAAGAGAAAAAAAGTCTTAATCTTAATCTATAGTTTAATTTAAAGCATTAATAAATAATCTTAAATACTTTTAATAATTAATTTATTGAGTGGTTTTACTTTTTGCTACTAACATATAAACATTCATTGGTTCAAATAAATATTATCTTAAATCCTTTTTTTAATTTATTTATAAAGAATAAATAAATATATATTAATATATATATATATTATACATATATATATATATATTTATTTAATTAATTACTTTTTATCCTATTAATTGTTCTCCTGCTTATGATAAATCGTCTTGTGAGAAACGGACAAATATATTCAAGTATTCTTTGATGAAAGCCTTATTTTATATCCACCAAGTATTATTATAATATTACTCACTAAAATATTTTCGATTAATCATATAAAAATCATTATAGCTTAGTTAAAGCTGGACTAAAGTTTATGTATAATTACTAATTTTATCTACTATAAGTAGTTCAGTTTAAAATTATGTAAAATTTTATACCAAAGTTAAATATTAAGTAAGTCCTAAAGCAAAAAGTATTATACACAAAAAAGAATTAAATAATTAGAAAGTTTCAAAATCAAAGGTGTATTTACATTTTTTAGGGATTATCTTAACATTCTTACTGCATTTTATGTATTTATACTATTTGATGAACCTACACTTTATCCTACTGCATTTTCTTATTCTTTTACTTCTTTTTTTTCGAGATTTTAAAGCAAATTTCTTTCAATTAATAAAGAATCATCTGATTTTTAATCAATTTTTTGAATATCATCAAACATCTGTTCTTCTTCACTTGTACTTGATGATTAATTAATATCTTTAATCTTTTTTTTATTTTTTTTATTTTTATAATATCTTATTGTTACTATTTTTAAACCATGTCCTGATGATGAAGTAATACTATTTCTTTAAGTTTTTTATTTTTCAGTAAATTTTCCTTTATTAAAAGCTTATTTTATTTTAGCTATTCCTGAAGTTTAATACTCTTTGACTTTTTAAACAAATATACTTTTTTTAAAAAAAAAAAAAAAAAAAAACTTTTGATATTTTATGATTATTTAGTTTAAAAATTTTCTTATTATTCTTGTTCTTCAGTATTTTATTTTTCAGAATCATTATCAAAAAGAAATCCAGATTCTTTCATTTCAATATGACTTCTGGGATTATAGAAGAGACTATGTGGTTTTTTTCCAATAATTTTATTAATTATTAACGTTTTTCTTAATCTAGAAAAAAATTTAGAACTAATTTCTACAATATTTTAATTTTTTGTTTCTTTTTATTGAATTTTAGGTTTATTATTTTATTTCAATATAGATTCTTATGATTTGATCTTTTAACTATTATAGACTTTAATTTTATTCTTTTTTTTAAAGTAGTATTCTTTTTGTAATTTTTTTATTATAAATTTTCATGAGCTAATTATGTATTTATATCATTATTATTTAATTAAATGTTATTGCTCAATCTATTATTTCTAATTTTTATACTATTGCTCATGTTGTATTCCAATAAGTTTTATTGATTTAAATCTATTTTATTTTATTCAGTCTCATTATTAGATGTTATAAGAGGAGTAGAATCATCATTATTTTACTTTGTTTCTTCCTATTATTATTATAAATCTTTAATTTATTTGAATTTTTGATGATCAATATTTTCTTAAGGTTCCTTATTTTATTAATGCTCATTAATTGCTTTATGATCAACGAAAAAATTATAATTTTAAAGCCGTGCATTTTTAATATATATATTAGAAGGTTTAAACCATTCAAGTATTTTTTTTTATAATAGTTCTAATTTCCTCTACTTCTTATTATGGTTTTTAATTTGAATCATTATTTACTTTTTTCTTTTTATCGTAATTTTTGCCTTTATTAGTTTTAGTATTGAAATATTTTAATAAACCATTTAGCTTGGTTTAAGATTATGAACCTTATTTTTCTTCATCTTCTTTATCTTTATTATTTAATTGATCTTCTTTTAATTACTCTTATTCATCTTCTTATTCTTTTTTTAATTAAGATTTCTTCGCTTTTATATCCACATGAAATTATTTTATATCTTACATGAATAATTTTAAATATTATTATTATTTTTTTATTCTTTCTTTGGTTGCATATTATGGTGTTTTTGCCTTATTTATATTTTATTTTTTTAAAAATAAAATAAATATGAAATTTTTAACCTCCATTTAAAAAATTTTTAACGCCTTTATTTTAAAATTGGAATTCCCTTAAAAATAAGTAAATACTTATAGAGAAGCTTTTATTTTTACGATCTTTTAAAGTTTTTTTTTATTCAATCTTTTAATTCCGCTTTATAAATATTCTCCATAGTCACTTTTAAAATAAACTTAATTTTTAAAATCAGAATTTTTTTCTTAAACCTTTTTAAATAAACTATTCTCATCTCCAAAATGTTTGACAAATAGTCTTCTTTTAGCTTCTAAATGATATTTTATTTGATTTTCTATATTCATCGGTATAAAAAAATAAAATTTTAATTCTTTTTAATTTATTTATTTATTGTCTGCTCCTAATACTTTTAATTATTTTAATTAAGGTTTATCTTTTTCAAATACTAATCCTTTATTGTCATTTTATATATCAAAATCAATAAAATAATCTTTATATATGTCTGATAGTTTTGGAGCTAATAATTAAATATTTAATCGATTTTCTTTTAACTATTTTACATTTAATTACTATTTAAATTTTTTATAAAATTATTAATATTATTTTGTATAATAAAATTAAAATATATAAATAAATATACAAGGTAATCAGAAATTTTCTTACCTACAGCAGAAATTTCTCCATCATAATCAGTGATAATATAATCGTTTTCATTGATTTTATGTATTAACGATATAATTTCATAATTTTTTAATGTAGGGATTATTTTTACAAATATATTACATGAAAAGCAATACCCTTTATGATCTAAAGCCCATGTATGCATAATATTGTTAATAGTAACTTCTTTCCCTTTGTTTTTTTTTTTTTAAAAAAATTTATAATTAAATATAAACCGTTTTAATAAAAATTAGATAAAATTTAATCATGTCTATTAGCAAAAACAGAAGGCATAAATTCATTAATACTTTTTCCTTTCAAATTTTATTCGTTAATTCCAAAAATATTATAGCAGTTTTTTGAACACCAACTTATTTAACTTTTTGTTTCTTAATTCGTAGAAATACTAATTACACATGATTTTTCATCATAAATATTATATTTTTTTAATAAATAATCTATTTCTTGATTTAAAGAATCACCGACTTCCATATCAGATGTTGGTTGTATTTCTTTTTGTATTTTTTTTGATAAACATTCATCATACACAATTTAATCGGCATATAATTCCATAACATTTCTCAAATCAGTTGAGTTTTGGTTATATTTTTTAAGTACCTAGTATATTTTTTCAGTTTTAATGATTTATTCACTAGTCTAATTACAAATAATTAATAATTTAGACATATCAGGGATATTATCATGAAGACATTCCCACATATTATCGAAATTTTAGGCAACATTTTTGATGCAATCTTTAAGTTTTTTCATTCCTTAATTAAAGATTTTAACATTTTCAATCATTAGGACATCACTAACAGAATGCTTTTTATTTTTTTAAATAATATAAGAATGTATCATTTACTCTAATCTATATAAACAGAACTCATAAGAAATATCAAGATCGTTTTCATATTTATTTTTAAAATTTTTAATATCATCAAAAAGTAAAGTATATAATCTCATGTCTTCGAAAATGAAAAAAATATAATTTAAATTTAGCAATATTGACTATTTGAATTTTCTCAAACCATCCTTTATCATTTTCGCAATAAAATGTTTCACAAAAACAGGATCTCTATGAAATTATAATGAAGAATCTCCAAAATCATACTTTTTTGGATCAAAAAGCTTATTTCGATTTCTACATGGACATTCAGAAATTTCCTTACATTTATCATAATGAATCTTTAGTAAAGAAGCTAATAATAATTCACTTTTTTTTACATGCAGGTTTTTTGATAAGTAATTGTATGTTCTTATTTTCAAATCTAATAGTATATCATCTTTTATATCTTCTAGTTCACTTATCATTATTACTTTTAAATAAAAATTTCTTAAATTTAAATATAACTTAATAAAGCATAACATTCCTAATAAACTAATATATAATATGTTGTCCGATATTGTTTATTCATCTACTACGTATATTATTAAAAAGGTACTGTTTATCCATAGATAGGCAGCGCAAAATATTCCATTTGTTTTTGATACATTTTTTTAATGGTAATAAAATGCTGCTAATGATTAATAGTATAATATTATTCCTTTTTTATATATTTTAATTTTTTTTTTTTAAAAAAAAAAAAACCCTTAATAATATGCATTATTAGATAATATTCATATATTTTATAATCATTTAAATTAAATTATATGTAACATAATATAAGAATTAATTTTAAAAGAAACATTTATGTTTATAATGATGACGGATTTTTGGATAAGTTATCTTTTATTTTAAATGTAAAGTTAAAAAATATTAACACATATAAAATTTCCATTATTGTTAGTATTATTATAACTACTATACTTAATGATAAGTTTAGAATATCAAGCACTTTTTTTTTATTTAAATATATAAATTTAAATATAAATTTAAATATTTTTGTTAATATGTACTTGAATTAAAACTTTCATCATCAAATATACCATCTAAAATATTTTAAAAAGAAACTCCGTAAAAAGGAATAAGTAAAACTTTATCTTACATGTCATACACTAATGACCATATATTTTTAAAGTCTTTGATTGAAACTTCATCTTAGTTTTCTTGTTTGTAAATATGGTAGGCTCCTATAAGTAAAAAAATTAAGTTAAGAGCGAAAATATTATAAATCCAGTATTAAATACATCATTTTTTAAAGAATTAATAACAGGAAATACAAGCATATATTAAGAAAGAGATAAAGAAGAATTTAATGCTGTCTATTATAAATAAATATTTTTTTCATTAAATGTCATAGCAATTAGTTATAAAAAGCTTACAATTATTAAAAATATTGAAACATTTTACGACAGTTGCTTAGACTCTAATATTTAATGATATGTGTAATATATCTTCTCTTTTATTTGTTCAAATAGTTTTTCTTTTTGCGTTTCTACACAATTAAATTCTTCATTATTTTTTTAGAATTAATCTATCATTATTATTTAATTTTATTTTATTTTATTTTTTTAAATAAAAATGAATATAAATAAAAAAATTTTCAAAATTAATTAATACATAAAAAATAGTGATAAAGCATTTCAAATTAATTTTCATTTTTTTATATATAAATTTATATAAACTTATTTCAGAAAATAAAATCACAAATATCAAATTAAATATAAATAAATAAATAAGAATATTTAAAATTATAAATATATAAATATATAAATATATAAATATATAATTATAAATTTATTATTTTAAATTTTTTTTTATCATATATATATATTTATTTTTTATTATTATTTTTTAAATTATAATATCTATAAAATTTATTCATTTTTTTTTTAAATTTTTTTTTTAAAAATATATTTTTTTTTGAGTTATATGTCAAGAATGTAATATTTTTTTTAGAATTATTTATATATATTTTATTAATAATAAACTATTTAAATTAAAATTATTTATTATAATTTTTATCAATAATCTATTTAAATCTTTTATATTAAAATATATATTATATTAGATAGTTTTTAATTTAAGTATATATATATTTACATATTGCTTTACTTATAAAATATTTTTTGTGACATTTTTACTTATTCGTTAGTTAATCAAGATTACACAATTTCTATATTATATACGCTATGTAAATATTGTAATAAATTATAAACATTTAAATTTAATTATTAAAACAAATATTTACAATTTTCTGTTTTATTATTTGGTTAATTATATTTGAAAATTATGAAATTGTAAATACTATTTTATGCTTATTAAGATTTGCTTCAATTTATTTTTTAATAGAAATTAAAATTTTATTTTAAAAATAAAAATAAAGGATAAAGTTACATTCATTTAAATCTAATTAAAAGAAACCTATATTTATAAACAATAGATCTACTAAGGAATCAATAAAATAAAATTCAAACAAATAAATTTATAAAAGCGAAATAAAATGGATTACGAATAAAAATTATTTTTTTAAAATACTAAATTAAAATTACAATTAATTATAAAGAGTTAAATAAAAAAATAAAATCTAAAAAATTATATTTTTTATTTATAAGTTTAATTATTATTATAATGATAATAAGAAAAATAATTAATGATGATAGATAAATTTAAGATTCTTATTTAAAAATAACTTAAAAATTGTTATTATTAATAAAGTCAAGTTATTCATTTCTTACTTAAAATAATAGATATATAAACAAAAAATAATAAATATATAAAGATATTACAAGCAATATTAAAAATTTAGTTTATAAATGTAAATTTTATTTTATATAAAAAAAATCATAATTATAATAATAAATATTTATATATTATTTAATATATATAAATTATTATATAATTTTATTTTTTTCTAATTTAAAAATAGATTTAAATCAAATTTAAAACTATATATATTATTATATTGATTTTCTTTTATATAGTTTATCTATTATTTATTTAATTTTTAAAAATTATAATATAAATTTATTTAAATATATTTTTATATCTAATTTTTATATTTATATTTTTATATATTTTATTAACATTTAATATTATTTTTTTTTATTAATATTTATTTTACATAAAAATATCTTTTTTTATAATTATTTTTATATATATATTTAAATATATATATTTTTTTTTTTTATTTTAATTTTATTATTATCTTTTTTTTATATATATATAATAGATATAAATTTCTTAATAAAAATTTTATACTTAACTTTTTAAAATTTTTTTTTTTTTTTATATATTATTTATTTTTTTTTCATTATATTTATTTTTGCAATTTTTATTTTTCTAAAGATTATTATTTTTCTTAATTTCTGATATTATCTTTTAAAATATTTTTTTTATTTACTATTGCTTTCTTAAGAATTTTCTTAGATCTATAATAATTAATTTAATTCTTTATATATGTTTTAATCCTTATTTTCTTATTATTTTTGAATTTTCTAATAAATTTCTTCTTCTTAACTTTCGTTTTCTTCTTTTATATCTGGAATATGTTAAATGTTTACTAAAACTATTATTATAGTTCTTATTGTATTTTAAATTGCTATTCTTATTAATTTTTCAAATATTCCATATCATCTTCTAATTAAGATTTTTTTTATTTATAAAATTCATTTTCTTGCTTTATTGTTTTATTTATTTTTTCAAATAATCAATAATTATAAGATTATTTGAATTTTTATTTTATTTTTTCTTAAAGTTAATTTTCTATTTATTAATATTAAGTTTCTAAATTATTAAATTATTTAATTTATTTTTATATTTATTATTAATTTTTGCTTAAATTTCTTTTATTTTTAGTTTTTTACTTCTTAAAAGAATTTTTTCTTCTTTTAATTTTTGTATTTAGTTAATATAATATTAATAACTATTTTTTTAGCATATGTATTAATTTTAATATAAAATTAATATTTATTTACTTTAAATTAGGATTATTTTAATAAAATTTTATTTTTTCGTTTTTTTATTTTAAAAATTATTACATTTTAGCATTTTCGTTTAGCAATAGACTAATTTTATATTACAAACTCTGTGAAATTTCTTTAAATTTTTCATCTTATTTTAAAATTTTATCTTTTTCTCTTCCTAATTCTTAGTTTTTTATACAATTTATTATAAATTTTTATTTTAATTTAATATTTTTGCAAATTTTACTTCCAAAATAATATTTTTCGATTCTAACTCTTTGTAAATGTGCATTTTCAAAAGGAAGACTATATTCTTAAAATTAAGCTTATATCTAATAAATTTTTTAACTTTGCAAATTTTTATTTAAGCTTATTAGCTATTTTATTTTGTTTACCAAATCTTCAGTATAAGCATTTTAATTTACTAGCTATTAGTTTAGTTATTAATTTATAGATATTACTCTTTGGTCATTTTCTTTATTTTTTAAAAGATTTGGAGATACTAATATGGACATTTTGTACGTTAGTTATTAATTTATTTGTGCTTAAAGGAGATATATAACGATAACTTCCGTTAGTTACTACTTAACGAGGAGATGATAAGGGTGATTATGTTGAGTAAAATCTACATGGAAGAGTTTAATTTGATAAAAAGTTTGAACTTGGCTTTGCTTGGAATCTAAATTAATGTTGTCGCATTTTTTTATTAATAATAATGCTTATTATTTATAAAATTTTATTTATTGTTATTTTTTTAAAATTTTTAATTTTAAACAAAAATAACAATATATTTTTTTTAATATTAAATATTACATATATAATATTATTATTATTATTTTTATTATGTTTATTTTAAATTATTTTTATATATTTAAAATATTTAAATAATTTTTTTCATTTTTAATTTTTTTTTTTTTTTAATTTTGCTGCTTTTTTCTTTAATTCATTTACTTTTTCTAATTTTGTTTCTTATGTTTTTTTCATAATATTATATAATTTCTAATTTTTTCTAGTCATGATTTATTTAGCTAATTCATGTTATTCCTTTTCTTCTTTCTTTTTTTTCAAAGTTTTTTTTTTAATGCTTTTTAATGATCATATTCATTTTCTTCTTCAGATTAATCAACTTCGACTTAAACTTCTTATATTTCACTATCTTATTCTTTACTTTCTTCTTTATCTTCACTAATTTCTTAATCTTCGTCTTCTTCATCATCTTCATCATTGGAACCTAATTATTAACTATTGACGATAGTTTTTTGATTCGGTTCAAAATCTTCTTCTTCTTCATCATCATCATCGTCATTTTTAACTTAAATATCATTATCTTCATCTTCTTCTTAAACTTCTATACCTTTTAATTTTTCAATATCTTTTTATCTTTAAGGTTTATATTCAGTATCATTATATTCCACAAAAGGCGATAAATGAGAAGGTAAACTCTATATTTGATTTAAGAAACAAAATATAATAATATTTTATTACTTTTCCAGGTCCATATTCAGCTACAGGTAATAAAACTGCATTATTAACAGAATCATATATCCATTAAGGTTAGACATATTCCCTATTTTTTAAAAATTTCAAAAACTTAGGATTTCTATCAGTAATGAAATGAGTAATTTAAGGATCATCTTAAGTAATAGGAAAGCTTTCGCAACCACTCCATGAAACTTTACCTCCAAAAGCCAAAATAACGAACTCTAAGGATAATCTAGGTACTTCTGTAGATAAGAAAAATACACAATTAGTAAAAAGGTCTTTTTTATCGTTTGAATTTCCATTTTATAAGATTTAAATGTTGTCGTCTTTTGCGAATTTATCGTCTATTTAATATTTAAGATTTTCTTATTCCACTTATTCGAGTGTTTATTGGGAATCTTTTGTTTCCAAAACAAAAGATGAGTAAGAAAAATAAGATTAGTCTTCAATACTTTAATTAATAGTTATTGGATATTTAATTCCTAAATTACTAAATAATTTAAAATTAACAAATTTAACCAAAATTTCGTAAAATTCCAAAAAAGTAAGCATCACTTTATAATCTACTTCAACAGGTAATTCAGCTGGGAGTTAAAAAGGTTAAATCCAAGTGATTTTTTGACCTTCTATTTATGCTTAATAATATATGCCTTTTATTGATACAAATACTTTTTCTAAACTTCGGCTTTTTATTATATATAAATTGAATTCTCGTTATAATCTTATACATTTTTCGACTATATTTCTTTTTACTCCTAAAGATTTATGGGCTGCGAAACATGAAAATAAGCTTATCAAACATAAAGGATCATCTAAATCTCTTAATGCATCTATAAACGTAGGATATCTTTCTTTTATTAAATGATTTAATGTATATGTGGGTTTGTCTTTTAACAATTTCTTTACTCTCATTTCATCTTTTCTAGCTTTTAATTTCTATAATTTCTTTGCCCATGCCTTTTATTCACGGAACTTCTATAATATCTTCTCATGCATTATATAGTTTATATCTTTCTTGTGATAATAGGTCTTTCCAGTCTTAAATAATTTTTTTGGAGGCTCACGGGGATATACACCTTTCAATATACATAGACGACGGAAGTCTTTCAATGATATTTATAGCTTTTTTATGGATTTGGCTCTAGATATGTATTTTGTAGCTTCACCAACGGTGTTTTTCATGGTTTTTTTTACCATTTTTTTTGTAGAGATTTTATTTTTTATTAGTTTTTGTTTTGGTTTCTTTATAAATTTAGTTTTATGTTTTTAATAAAATATTTGTTATTTATTTTTAATTTTAACTTATTAATTTTAACTTCTGTTTTATTTATTTACTTTTGTTTTGTTTTGTTTTTAAAATAATATAAATTTTTATTCTTATGAATATTTTATTTTATTTATTTTTTAAAATACATATTGCAAATAAAAATATTGTGTTAATTTAATAATTGAATATGTTTTTAATAGATATAAAATTTAAATTTATAATAATTAATTTTTATTTAAATATTTATAAGTTTTATATTAAAATTAAAAAATATTTTATCATATGTTAAAAAAAAAAATATTTAAACATAATAAAATCTATATTATTATTTTTATATAATATTTTACTAATTAAAACTCCTATTTTTTAAAAAAGTATTTATCAAAAATACATATTATTTTTTTAATAAAACACTTTTATATAAGAAACGAATGTTTTTATTTAAAAATCAATTAAAAAGTTATTAATGTTATTAAATTCTATTTAAATATAATTTAATAACAATTTTAAAATTTCCTTGCTATCATAATAATTATAAAAAATATATTTTATAATTATAAGTTAAAATAGTTAGTTTATATATTAAATTTAAAAAATTTCTTTAATTTTTTTAAAAATTAATTTGTATTTTATGATAATTTTAATATTATTTAAAAATAATAGAATTCCTTTGAATTCAATAATTGATAATAATAAATATAAAATAGGAAAAAAAAGTGTGTAAAAATAAAAATTTATCAATATTTTTATATAATTTCAGTAAAATTAATGTAAAATCTATAAATAAATATTAATTCCTAAAACTGAAATTAAAAATATATCAAATTTTTTATGTAATATATAAATATATATATATATATATATATATTTTATTTTTAAAAAAAACATATATTAATATAGTTTTGGTATATTTTTTTTTAATTTTAATATTATTTAAACAAATCGTTCATACTAATATTATTATTATAAATATTAAAAAAATAAAAAGAAATAATACAATAAATACAAAAATTTTAATTAAAAAAATATACATTCATTTAATGAATAATTAAGAATTATAGAATTGGGCTTTAAACTTTTTAAATGATCATTAATCATAAGAAGAATACCTATTCTATGTTTTACCTATTTAATGGTAAAACTTTTAATATATTTTTTAAAAGAAAAATATTAATTTTTATTTTATATCTTTTCATTTATTTTATTCAAAAAAAAATTGCTTTTTATAAACATTTACATTTATTATAATATTTTTAAATAAATATTAATTAGGTGGCATGATTTCCAAACATTTGTATTATTAGCTTCAGAAGGTTATATTGAATAAAATTAAATAGATAATTACGATAACAGTTAATTAATGTAAAAAAAAAAAACTATTTAATTTTACAAAAAAAATAACAAATATTATAAGTATTGACACTTTAACAATTGAATAAACTGAATAAAGAAATTAATTATTTTATTAAATGCTAGAAAATTAAAAACATTAAATAATTGAAAAAAAAGAATATTTCAAATTAAATAGCGAGCTAAAAATAAATTAAGATTTTATTATTATAGGATCACACTAATTTAAATAAATTTCTAGTTATATTTAAGGAGGTCTTTTTTATTTTTATACAAAAATGTTTAAAATAATTTATTTTGATAAAAAACAATTATTTTACTTATTATATTTCTTTTTCCCTTAATTTTAATTATATATTTTTATTATAATATTCTATTGTATAAATTATATATATTAATAAAAGGCCCAAACATAAGACTATTTACGAATTAATTTGACGAATAAAATAAAAATATAGATTAAAAATTAATAATTAAAAGTAGTGATATTGAAGATAATTAAATAAAGCCAAATTAATACATAGATTTAAATATAACATAACTAGGATTTTAAATAAAAATAGGGGTTAAATCATATGTAGAAGTAGGTTATTATCCTAAACAATTTCCAATAAAAAAGATATTAAAATTGATATCTCCAATTTAAACTGACTTTAATAAAATGACATTAATTTTGAATAATAAATATCATCAAAATCAAATTTAATTTTAATATTTAGATGAGAAAATAACAATTTAAAATTTAAATATTATCGAAAATAGTTTTCTTTTGTTTAGTGATGAATTTAATAATTAAGAAAGTATTTTAAATTTAAATCAAATAACATAAGATTTTATGGAATTAGAAGAAACTAAAAGAGATGAGGATTTGAATAAAACTTTAGGCACAGCAGGCTTTTCAACTATAGATACAAATATTTAATATAATTCAATTGATTTATTAAATATCACACAAAATTATAAATAAGAATTTGCATTTTTTAAAGGCATAAAAAAAATATATTTATTTATAAAATTTTTAATTAATTTTTTTTATATAAAAATAACAGATAACGATTAATAATAAATACAAGAATTTAAAGATTTTTTCAAACTAGCTTATAAGCAAAATAATAAAATAAGTTTTATTCCATATAAAACTAATAAAATTTAAAAAATTTAAGAGATATTTGCTTCGATTTATAATAAATTATTGAAGGTCAAAATTGTTTCAAAGTTAAAAAAAATTCAAATATTATTGATATGTAGTAACTTTAAGAATAAAAAATTACAGATTTTAATTAAAATAATAATTAATTGAATGATAATTAAACTAATACTTCTACTTCTAGTACTCAGTCAGAAAATTCAGAATTCTCAGAAAAAATTATTTGAAGTGTTAAAGTACTAAAAAAAACATTTTAAACTAAATTTAATTATAAATAATATTATATAAATATATAACTAAAACATAAACATGTTTAAATAATAAATATTTTTATATATAAAAGTAAAATACATTTTATAGTTTGAATATTTAATACTTTATAATTATTATTTTTTTATATTTATTTTGCTATTTCTAAATATTTTTAATAATTTTAAACTAAAAATCTATATTAATATATTGAAATTACAAATAATTTAATTTTATCGATATTTAGATATATTTTTTAATATAACATTGAATATACCAAAAAAAAAAAAATCGTAATTTTGAAATAATAAAATATTAAAAATGAAATTATTAATGAATTTAAATATTACTATTTATAAATTATTTTTTAAATTTTACATTTAATTTAATTTTTTTATATTTTCCAAAAACCTATAAAAATAAATAGTTTTTACATAAAGATAAATAAAACAATAATATGATTTTGTAATTTTATTCATCATAAATCATTCTTAACAGGGACAAAAGTCATACCTTAGAATTATCTTTGATATAATTCTATATTTTTTCCACTATTGACAAACGAATTTCTCGCATCTAATTTATTTTTAAAAATATGTTAATTAATAATAATACCTTCTTCAGTAAATTCAGATTCGAAATTTCCTACATCTTTATTATTATTAATTTTAGGAATAGTAGGAGCTTAAATCTATTTATTTATTTAAAATCTTTAATAAAAAAAAAAATACTTTTTTTTATATTAAATCATCAAAATTAATTTCTTTAAAAAAAGGATGATTTTTAATATCTTACACATCTTTATAGCCTAGTCTTTCTTCAGGATTTTTTTACAATAATTTAATAACTATATCCATACATTCTTTTGAAAGTGGAACTGATTGAGGGAACCTAACATCTTTTTCAATTATATTTTAAAACATAATGCTTTAGTTGTTATTATAAAATGGAGGAATACCAATGACCATTTCATATCTAAAATAAAAAGAAAATTAATAAAAAATAATTTTTATTTTAATATAAAACATTAAAATTCCTAAAGCCCAATAATCAGCTAATATATTATGTCCATCCATATTAATAATTTCAGGAGCAATATAATCAGGAGTCCCTACAAATGAGTGAGTTAGTTAATCTTTTTCAAGCTATTTTGCTAGACCAAAATCAGTTAGTTTAATATATCCTTCCTCATCCATTAATATGTTTTCAGGTTTTAAATCTCTATAAACAACATTCATTTAATGCAAGTATTCTAATGCTAATAAAACTTATGCAGAATAAAATGCTGCAGCTTATTCTGTAAATCTTTTTTGTCTTTTCAAATGGAAAAAAAGCTCACCTCCTATTAAAAACTTCATTGCAAAAAATACTTTTTCTCTTGTTTAAAATGCATATTCTAAATTCACTAAAAATGGAAAATTTACCTATTTTTTTTTTTCTTAAACTCATAGAAAATAAATACTTATTCTAATATTTTTCTTTCTGCTTTTGTATGTTCTATTTAATCTTTATCTATTATATCTTCTTTTCTCATTGATTTTATAGCATATAATTCGTTAGTATCTTTTTTTTAACAGAGCATTACCTTTTTTATTTTTTTAGATTTAAAATAGAATAAACTAATACTTAATTTTAATTACTTTACCAAAAGCACCTCTTCCTAATACTTTTATTAAATGAAAATCTTCAATTGAAAGCTTTTAATCATTTTCTATTTATAAAAAATAAATTAATAAAATTTATATTACAAAAAGATAAAAACTTTCTGAATTTCTTGAATATATTAAATTTGAAACACCAACAGCATTTTCGTTTCCTGACATACTTTCAGGATCAAGATACTTTTTTTATTTTAAAAAATTTATAATTTTCTTTTTCTTTACTTATGGCTAATCTTTTGGCATATTAGAAAGTTTATTTTTTACATCAATTTTAGTTGTACAATATTACATAAGAGTTAAATCATCCTTTTTTTATATAATTAAAAGAAAATAAATATAATTTTTATATATGCGTTTATTTTAAACCTTATAAAAAAATGCCATTTTCTTTTAGTTAAATTCATAATATGCAAAGCATATAGTATTAATTATTTATTCCCTAAAATTTTCACTTTTTAATAAATAATCATTTTCTCCAGGAACATGAATAATAAATTAATATCCAAATCTAGAAACTGTTAAACCAAAAAGTTTATTTAATGGAATTTTTCTTTTAATTCTAGCAGAGTTAATTACTTTTGATAATAAATTTGATAAAAATTTTGGCGGTAATATATTGTATATGTTTTTATTTGTAACACATAGTATTCTTTCTTATTTTTTATTAACGTGATTAAATTTATATATTAATGAACTTAGTAATATTTTTTCTTTTTTAAAAAATAAATATAATTATATTATAATTTCATTCAATAAAGATTTTTTAAGATATTTCTTTTATTTTATTATTAAATTTTTATAGGTACCTCCTGGCTCTAAAATACTTTAAACACATTTATCTTCATACATATTCATTAAATCAAAAGGATTTTTATTGTTATCCATTATTTATATATTAATTAAAAGGTATTTTAATAAATATTTAAAAAATTAATATATTTTTTTCTATTTGTGAGTATTATTTTTGATTTTTTTATGATTAACTTTATATTTATATATATATATATAATGGGCTATAAAGATTGAATAATAATTTTGAAATTGTAAAATCATATAAAATTGTTGTTTCTTATCAGATATTATTTTTTTAATTAAATTTTATAAATTAATACTATATTTATATTTTATTTTATTTTATTTTGTTTTATATGTATATATTTTTTTTTCATTCATTATTTATAATTTCAAAAATAAATGGCATTTCTCTATTTTATTAATTATCTTTTTTTTATATAAATTAAAAATAAATAAATTTTAGAATACTTAATAATCCAGAATTCAAATCTTGTATATATTTGTTATATTTTTTTATTTAAAAAAAAATTCCATTGTTTTAAATAATTTTGCAATTTTAATTTTTTTAAAATTAAAAAAATTCAAACTATTTTAACTATTCATTCTCTAAATATAAAAGAGCATCATTTTGATTTAATTTAATGTTTTATATATTTGGAAACATATTTTAATAATTAAAATAATTATTCTCTTCTGAGAAAGTCAACTATTTAATATAAAAAACCTTTTCGTTTTCATAATTTTGATCTTATTTAAAATTAAAAGATTATTTTTTATATTTTAAATTAATTTTATTTTTATATTCATCAAGTAGTTAATTATATTGCTTTGTATTATATTTATCCATTATTTTAAAACGTTCCATTAGTCTAAAAAATAAATATCCAGTCATTAATGCATCATAACCAGCTTCGTGACTTAAATTATATTATTCTTGATCACTTAAAATATACATTGGAAATAAATCTTATTAGATTTATATATTTAATTTAGTGTTTTTATTTTTATAAAAGCAATCAAATGCCTTTGATAATGAATATTAAATAGATTAATCTATTTTTTAGTCTTTTTAACGATTTAATATTAAACGAGTATCATAAAATTCAGTAAAATAATTAATAAATTTTTTCTTAAAATCTATTTATTATTCAGGTAGTTTGTCTATAAATTTGTCATAAAGCTTTTTTTTTAAGATTTTTTTTTATTTTTTTTTCTAAATATTATTACTTATAAAATATCTATAAATCCATTATGAAATATTAAAGGAATTTAATGTTATGAAATTAAATCAATTATATATCTAAGGTTATAGTTATCAAGCAAATCTTGATTTTTATAAAAATGGTTATTTTATTTTATTTTGTTGTAAGTTTAATTGAATAATTTTTTTTATTCTAATTGTTTATCATATTCAAGGCTAGTATATTATACACCTATTTTTATATAAATTATTAATAAGTTTTTATTTTTTGTACTATTATAATAGAACTGTTTAAAATCTAGTTAATTTTAAGATAAAAAACTGAAAGCTTATCCCTTTCGAATTTAGAAAAAAAAAAGTTAGGTTTTTTTCTTAATATAAATATAAAATAAAGATATAATTTTACATCATACATAATGTTATTATCATTATTTTCCATAAGTTCATATTGACTAATGTATATATTAAATGGAAATGCTTCGATTCTATAACATAAATAATATTATGTAAATTAATAAATTATTCAAGCATAAAAAGAAATGTAAAATACTTTTCATTATTGTGAATCTAAAAACAACATAATCCAAGTTAAATTGGTTAAAAGTCTTTTATATTTTCTTTAGTTGCAAAATATCTTTATTATATCTTTTTTTATAATAAATTTATTTTTAATATATATTTTAATCAAAATAATAATAGATTGATATTTATAAATTTAAATTATATTTACTGTATCATATTTATTATAAATTAAGTCATAATGCCTATAAAGACCAGTAAACTCAAAATCTATACTTATATAATTTGATTTTTTTATGCATTATATTATAAAAGGCAACTATTTAGAATAATTAAATTTATTAATTAACATTTTTTGTTTTTAATAGAATTTTTTTTTATAATTTAACAATAAATTAAAAATATTTTAAATTAGATTTTTTATAAAAAGATTTTTATATATTAAAATTTAAATCTAGATGATTTATTTAAAGAAATATTTTCATAAAAAATATGTAATAAAACAATCTTTATTTAAAATTAAACTGTTTTTATAAATATCTTTTCTTTATTTTATAAAAAAAAAACAAATAAATAATATAAAAAATAATCGTATCATTCACGCAATTCAGACATAGGAATTTATATTAAACATCCAGATACAATATTTGTTTTTTCTTTTTCTGATAAAATAACCTTAAAAGTGTCAGAAATTCCATTTTTATCAATATTAAGGATTTATACAACAATAGGGACACTAACATAAGGCATAAGAAACGGAATTTAATTAGCACATTTAATTATTTTATAAATTTTTTTATCATATAAATAGTTTATATAAATATTATAAATACAATTATCTCCTAAATTTTCTATTATAAGTTCAATTTTAAATACTGGTCCTAAACCTTTAATATTTGCTTAAATTCTAATATTTATTTCTCCGTTTTTTATAAGGTTATTATTATTAGATTCTTCTAGTAAACTAAGATAAGTTTATGCTGTTTTCAATCTCATCTTCATTATGTCTTTTTGAAAACTTTTATGGATTTAGGTATAATTTTCACGATGTCTTAATGTATTTTCTATAAAAAGTTTAGTTTTTTTAGGAACACTCAAAGGTATTTCATCTTCTTTTATTTTGTTGTTTTATTATTAACTTATAAAGTTCTTTTTTTATTTATTATAATTAAGAATTATTTTATTTTACTTAAATGTTAAAATTTCTTTATAATATACGAATATCAAGACCTTTATTTTTCAAAATCATTACTAACATTCCTTCTTCTCTTCCAAAAGGACCAAATTTCATAGCACTTATTATACCCTTTTTTTTTGTTTTTTTTATATTTTTTTAATTTTAGTTACATCTAATTTTAATATATGGATAAGTTATTTTTATATATATAATCTAAGTTCAGCATTATCTAGACCTACTAAAATGCCCTTTTTTTAGAATTTTAATAACATGTAATATATAATATGTCACTTATGTCTATTTTGATTATCCAAATACTAAAGGTTCAATACAAACAATATCAGAATTGGTTTTTAAAGAAAATTATTTTAATCCTTTATTATTATAACATTAGAGAACTTCATTCATAGTTGCTACATAAATATCATTCCCTAATAAAACTGTTTGAACTGCTTTAGAAGTTAATTAAATTTAATATTTTTCATATTCTCCGTTTTTTATAAATTATATTTTATTATTTCTTGTTGTTAAAATAATTCTATATTCACCTTAATAAGTTCCTATTGTAATAATAGATATAGGCACGTCAGTTAATTGTAACTTTTTTATAAAAAAAATATATATAAATATAAATATATTTATACTTATGTTTATATTTTCATTCCATTCGTTTCCATTATATAAAGCATTTTATTTTCTGTGCCAATAATTAAGTTTTGGGCAGAAAATTCAGATATTAATGAATTATATAAGGTTCCTAAACATGTAGTAGTATCAGGTATACTATATTATGAATTCTCAAATTTTTATTACAATATAAGTTCATATTGTTTTTATGGTTTTGATTAATATAGAACTTCTAAAGTTAAATATGTGAGATCTTATTGCTATTGTTCTTTTAATTGATTCCATTTTTCAATCATTTTGGTTATAGCTTCTTTTTTTCCATCAAATAATTACCATATTTCTTTTTCTTTTTGACTCATTTCAATGTTTGGTAATGTAAATCTAAATATTCTTTACATATTTTAATGAAAGTAAACATGATTATTTGCAGCTAAAGCTAATATTGGTTGTGCTTTTTATATTATAAATATAAAATTTAATATTAAAATATTTATTATTTTTTTACGCAATTATTACTATTCAGGATAATAATATGCTAGTGCTATTGGAGTATCCTGTAAACTTAACTTCTAATCAATATTAATACCTTTGTAAGATAATAGGCGGTTGTCTTAATCTGCTATTATTAGTCTACTTTCCCCGTCTCCTGTTAATTAAGTTAACGCAATACATGATTGCAAAACATTTATTTATGATACTGGATCTCGATAGCCAATTAACCAAGGACTTTATTTATCTTAAACTAAAAGATTTGTTTTTTAAGACATAAATATATATATATAATTAATTTATTTTTTGAATTTATTTATTAATATAATAAAAAAAATATTTATTTAAATATATATTAATATATATAAAAAGTCTTTTTAAACAATATATTTATATATAATCTTATAATATTTGCAATCTGAAATTAAATTTAAATATAAATATATGTTGAATTAGATTAAGATTTTAAATTATAATATGAAAAAAATAATATATGATTAAAATAAGATTAATTAAATTTTTAAAAGCAATTTAAAAACTTTTAAAAAAAATATAAAATATATAATATATAAATATTATATATATATAAATATATATATATATATAAATATTATTTTTGAAAATATTTTTATGCCTATTTTTAAAAAGTTTTAATATTAAAAACTGTATATATTTATTATATATATTTCATAATATTTTTTTTTAATTTTTACACTTCAAATTTTTTTTTTTACATTCTATATCTATATTTTTAATTTGAAGAATATAATTTTATTTTGTTAAATATTTTTATATTTGTAAAATATAAATTTTAAAATAAATATTATAAAGAGCAACAATATAAAGAATTTTTATATTTATATAAAAAAATATTAATTAATTTTAACTTTGATATATTAAATAAAAATTTTAAATTAAAAATCAAATATAATTATTATGAAAAATTTAATTTTATTTTATTTCCATTTCTTTTTTATTTTTACTTTACATTATACAGCATAGAAATTAAAGTGTTAAGTATTTATAATTCAAAATTTTACTTAGCTATAAATAGGGATGATTCTATTAAAATCCTTAAAGAATTTTATTTTAATATTTAACGTTTTGCCATATTCATCAATTATTTATCAAATATTGTATTTATGCATTATATTTTAAACAAAGATAGGCTTTGTGTATTAATTTTTATTTTTTTAAACAAAAAAATAAATTAAAAAGTTGCTTATATTAGTTATATAATTATTCTTTGATAAAAAAAAAATATAATTTGTTGTTAATATATATATATATAAAAATAAAAAATTTAAATTAACATTATAATAAATTACAGTTTTATTAATAATTTATAATAATTTTTTATTTTAAACTTCAAAACAACTTATTTTATATTTCTTAAGCAAACGAAACATGCTATATTTGAAATTGCTTTTATTTATTTTAAACTTAATTTTAATTTATTTTACATATGCATATTTTAAATAATAATAGAATAGCAAAATATTTTTATATTAATAATTTATTTTTATTATTCGAAATATATTTTATATTAATTATCTTAGTTCTTTATAATATATATTATTTAATTGCAAAAACATAATATCAAATATGATAAATGAATACTTGAAAAAAAGAAAATAGTTAAAAAATGGTTGGGATTTTATAAAGACATATAAAAATAGTAAAATAAAGTATATTTATTTATAATAAAATATATATTATTATACTAAAATATTAATAAAAATTTTTTACGCCTTCCCATAATAATATTAAAAAAATCAATCTAACAAAAATCTTTTTTTTCCTAAATTATTCCCACAAGCAGGGCATTAGTGAATTGCATCCTTGCAATCATTCATAACACAGGGAATAAGGCAACATCCAGAACTAAATCCTGCCAAACAAACAATAATTCCTGCAATCCATGTTCCTGTTCCTACTTTGTAAATAACCTAAGATTAAATTCTATTTTAGCAAAACTGACAATTAAAAGATTAAGGATGTCTTGATATTTAATGTTAAAATTGATTATTATTTTAAATTTATTATGGGAATTATTACTATTGTATTTAAGGATTTACATATGTATTACTTGGAGGTGGTGGAATAGGAGCAATCATTTGATTATTCTATTAATTTTAAGGAGCATAATAGAATTATTATTATTAAGGCATATTTAGATTATGTGGAGCTATGTAATTTTAAGGATTTTATTATTATTATTATTATGGATTTTATTATGGTTAAAATTATGGCTAAGGTTAAGCTCGTACAATAGGAGGATATTAATTCGAAAAAGGCGGCATAATAATATTCTCTTGATTTATTGGTAAACCTTATACTGTAGGTTCAGAATTAGTTTATTCTTATAATTATATATATTAATTGTTCTACATTATTATTGTATATATATATATATTTTTTTATTATTATTATTAATTTTTTCTAATAAATTTATAATATATATTATTATAATTTTTTATTTATCTATTAATTTAAATTTTTTTTTTATTTTTTTCTTTTCTATATTTTATTATATAATAAAATATAAGAATTTATTATTTATTAAAAAAAATGAAAAAATAATATTTAATTTAAATATATAATTTTTAATTAAAAAAATATATGGAAATAGTATTTAAAATTTAAACAAATAAATAAAAAAATTAATTTAAAATAAATAAAACTATTAATATTTAATATTATTTCTTTAATCATTTTTTTTTAATTATAGTTTGCAATTAATCTTATGATTTTGTTTATATTATTATATATTTATTTAATATTTTTTCTTTTATATCTTTTTTCTTAATTGAATATATATTTTTTTAACATTGCTATTATCATAGTTTTAATATATTTTTTTAAAAAAATGACGTCTTTTATTAAATTCTAAGTTTAATTCTACACAAACATAAATTAATGCATTAAAATAGTAGGAAATATAGAGCAACTAGGGAAATGGAATCCTTAAAATGCTTTTACTTTAACAACAAATTCCTAAATATATCCAAATTGGACACATGAAACATTTATATAAATACCATTAGGTTATATTTTTATGAAAAAAATAAAAACCCTATAGATGAACGATAATTTATTTTATTTAATTTGTTTTAATTTTAAATAGGAACTTAAATAGAGTTCAAATGTGTAATATTTGAATTTGGAAATGTTGTAAGATGGGAGTAGTTTAGTTATAATTAAAATAGAATTTATACAACATAATATTTTAAAACACTTGTTTTTATAAAATAAGATAATATTTTAATTATAGAAAGACCATTTCAAAAATATAATACAAATTTAGATATGGATATAATTGATACTTGTATTAAATTTTATTTTTGATAAAAATTTAAAAATTGAATAGATAAATATATATATTTTTTTTTCTTATATAAAAAAGCTAATGTGAGAAAATTTAAGGATGAGGAAATATTATTTGATCCTTTAAGGGATGCTGAAATTATGGTTTTTTTTATATATTCTATTAAATAAAGAAATAATCTTCATTTTTAATTTACTTTACTTTTTTACATATAAAATATAAATAATTTTTTATTTTTTTAAAAAAGAGCTCTTCTTCAGGTAGTGATTCATAAGATTTTTTTCGAAAACCTTAAAAAATTTCAGAAAAATAAGAAGACAATGATTAAATGAGTATTAAATATAATGACAACCAAATATGCTTGGGATTATAAAATATAAGTTTTTAAGTGACATAATAAAATGACATAAATAGATTTCCTGATAAAAAAAGTTTAGAACATAGTAGTTAAAAAAAGCTTTTATAAAGTGGGAAGAAAATAGAATCAAATATAGAAAATTTGTAATAATTATTTAATAAAATAAAAAAATAAGCCTAAGTAAATAAGTAAAAATATCCCCCAATAATAAATATGAAAGAATAATCATCTAATTAAGAAATAGAAATAGATAAATGTATTCGCTCTCGAAGTATAAAATCATAGCCTAGTATAGAATTGGACTCAATAAAAACATATAACGTGATAATTTTAATAAGTTTATAGCTACCAATATTAATAAAAGTAATTGAAACTGGGAAAAAGAAAAAATTTGAATATTAAGACTTTACTGACAATAAATTTATAGACTCTATATTTAGCAGTTTGAATATTTTAAAGGTAAAAATAATATGGGTAGGATTTTGTAATATACATATAGAAGACGAAGAAGAATAAAAAGAAATTAGGGAAACAATGTTAAAATAATATAAATGTATTCCAATTTTTTAATAAGAAGATATTATTTAATATAACTTTTAACATGCGTTTTTTTCCAAATTTTTATACTAGAATTATTAATAGAATTCTTTTATTATTGAAGAAGATGAAAATTGGCTTACTTATAAAAAAATAAACGAATAAATGGTAAATTTTATAAAATAAATCAACTATTATCCCCAAGCAATAATTTTAGTTGATACATTTTTTATGCTTTTTCCCTCGCTTTTTTTCTAATAATAAAATACATAAGATGAAAATAATAGTATTATAATTGCTTAATGTTTCAATAGAAAATTTCCTTATTGTCAAAATTTGCCTGAAATTAATACTTTGATGAATTCATTATTTTTTTCTCATATTATTTCTTTTAATACATATGAAGATTATGAACCTTTTCTTCAGATTTCTTAAAAATTAGGATGTTCTTTTGAATTTAAAAACGGGGGAAAGGCAATATTGAGTATAAACGGGAGAAAAATACAAATATTTATTTAGCATTCTGGAGTTGATTTAATAAAATTGAATTTTTTTTAACAAAATTTAAACAAAGAAATCAACAGAAAAATGATTTTAATGAAATAGTAAAACAAATTTGTTATACTTGGAATTGATGTTTTATCTAAAAACTCAGGAATCGAACTTAAAATAAATACTTTTCTCAATTTCTTGATTGCAGCAAAAAAAAAATATCCTCATTTAGAATTCAAACTGAAATAAATTGTTTACATTTAACCTGATTGTGAATTTTTTTCTTAACAAAACTAAATTACTTATTTTAATAAACTTAAAGATTTGGCCAAAAAAAAAGGAAAATAGAATATTGATATTATTTTGGGTAATTAGCTAACTTATAACGATTATATATAGCATTAAGCTTTGAGTTAAGTTTTCTTGAATACTTGTATATAATAAAAATATGGATATTGCCATTATATAGAATATTTATATATAAGAAAAAATGGTGTATGTATTTTACCAGATTGTACTCCTTTATTAAAAAAATTGAATAAAATTTTTATTTTCTCGCCTTTTAATATTGAAAAAATAAGTTAATGTCTAATAAGAGTATTTGAAAAATATATATTTTAAGAAAATTATATACAAAAAGTAAATGAAAATTTAGAAGACTAAAATAAATAAAGGATGATGATGTCTGTTTATTTAAATAATTTATAAGATTAAATGATTTATAATTATAATTATATTATTAAATATTTCTCTAATTAAACTTGGAGTTAAAATTTTATTGTAGAAATTACCAAAATGCAAATTTAATAAAGTTATTTGCAAATATAAAGCTCCTTGGAAGAAAGAAATACTTCTATTTAGGAAAAAAGAGTCAAAGATTTAATAATTAGGCCTTTATGTAAAAATAATAAATCGCACAAATTAATAAATGTAAAATAAATTCAAGAAAATATGCTAATAGCTAAAAATTAAGTGTTTATTTTTACTTTTGGAAGTTTATTAGATAATTATGAATAAGAAAAAATAAAATAATAATTAGTTAAATTATGCTCAGATTAAAATAAGACAGTCTATATAATAAGTAAAGCTCCAATGGATATTTTAGAAGAGTATTTTGGAGAAATAAGCAATTGTATATTTATATCTAATAATGGACAAAAAATAAAAGAAAATGAAAACGTAATTACTTTGACTAAAATATATGAACATTTGTTATGGAAACCATATGTAATTAAAATTATGGAAAATTTTGCTAATAAAACAGACGGAAGCTATGTCCTTGATTTTGATGTTGAAACCGTTTGGAATTGTTCTAAATGTGAAAAAGTATATGCTAAAGTTCAAAAAAAAGAACATATTAAATTATTAATGCAAATTATTGATAGTATGCCCAGTAATTAAATTCTTGAAGGCGAAGATTTCTTACTAGTAAGGCCTTGTTGTTTAAATAAAGTATTTTACTTTTAATTTATATTAATTTTTATTATTATTTAATTATTACTTTTATTTTTTATGTTCATTTTTTAAAAATTAATAACAAAAAGGTCACTATGGTGAAAATGGCAATCAAAAATAGCTTTTAATAAAAAGGTAAAATTGATTTTCTGTTTGTTATTGGAAGAAATAGATATAGCGATGAAGAGATGTTTTAAAAAATAAATAAATATGTTAATAAAGGAAATATAATTGTTTAAGTATTTTTTTATTTTTATTTTTTTTTATTCTTTATAGGATGTATTCGTTTTATTAGGCTCTAAATCTGAATAATTAAGTGCTAGACATTCAAATTATTAATTTAGTAACACTTAAGATATTATAGAAGTTTTGCAAATTTTAAACGGAGAAAAATTAAGTTCTCTTAATCATGAAAGTAGAATTAGTTATATAAAAAATAATTCAGCCTAATTATTACAACATATTACCCCAAAATTATTCACTTAAGAAAATCTTATAAACGATGATTATTATTTAAATAGCAATAATGAATATAAATCTTTAAAATACGTAAAATAATGAAAATAAATATTATATATAAATATATTTTTGTAGTTATTTATATATAAAAAATTAAAATATTTACAAATTAATTTATTAAAAAATGTGTTTATAAGATACTTATATATTAATTTTTTGTTTGAAAAACAAATCTATCTTAATTACACAAATAATATATAAAATACTAATATACAACCATATATACTAATTTGATGAAAAAAATCAATCTGGGAACTAATTAATATTTATAAATTATACATTATTAAGATTTTTTTTATCGAAGCAAACTGCATATTTTTAAGGAGAATAATCATCATTATAATTTAAATATTCAAATCCTATTTACAATTATAATTTGTTTTCTATAACAAGGAAATAATTAACTCCTGTAATTTAAAAAACTTTATAACTATTTGACATCTAAATATTCTTTCAAAAATTAGACTGAAGTTGTGGTTTTGTCGAAAAAGCAAGGTTACTAAGAAGCTAATAATTGTGTTTGTTAGTTATTGTTTTCAATATTTAATTTTAAATATGTAATAATATTATTTATATGGATTAAAAATCTTAGCATTCACGAATAAATAATTATTTTTATTGATTGAAATATCTAATTAAACTGCATGAAAAATTTATAAGAAATATTCTATTTCTTAGATTCCTATAAAATATTATTAAGAGAAAAATAATGTTTACTAAACTTGCAAAATTAAAAAAATAAAAATATTAAAATAAAATAATTATTATTTCTTTATTTATTTTTTATGAGTATAATTGCATAATAATTTAGTTTTGTTTAAATTATTATTTATAATATAAAAAAAGGTTAAAATTAAAAATTTGAATTAAGGTATTAAATTATATTTAAAAATTAAAATATAAAAAGAAATATATAGTCAATTAAATAATAAAATTAAATATAAATTAAAAAAAAATGCTTATGTTTAATTATTTTATAAAAAGAAGTTTGTAAAATATTAAATATATAAATTTTGAATATTAAAATTTAAATAATAGAAATCAAATAAATATAGTTAAATAATAAATAATTTGATTTTAAAAAAATTAGTTTATTATTAAAATAAAATAAAAATAATATTTTAAAAATAATATATATTTAAAAAAATTAATATTTATAGTAAAAATAAAAAATTTATTAGTATTTATAAAAAATAGAATTTTAAAAGATATATAAAAAAAAAAACATATAATTATAAATATAATGAAAATAAAAAAAAATATATTAAAAAATAATAATAATAATAATAATAATAATAATAATAATAATAAAATATAAAATAATTTCTATTATAATTATTATATGGGTTTTATAAAAGTATTCAAAATTAGTATATGATTTTAATTATTTAAAATTTTTTTTGATAATTAAATTTGTAATGTTCTAAATTATTTAAAGATTTAGATTAATTAATTTATGTAATTTTATATATAATTAACACGAATATATATTAAATATTTTATTAATATAAACTTAATCTATTAAAAATTTCAATTTTAATTATATTATATATTTATATAATAATTTAAATTTATTATTTATAAAGTATAAATTTAACTAAATATTTTTATTTTATATTGTTTTCATATTATTTTTATATAAATTATAATTATATAATTTTATATTTAAATTAAAATGAATTAATAAAGGATAAAGGAATAAAATGCAATAAAAATATATAATAAAAAAACTGATTAATTATTAAAAAATATAAAAACCAAATAAATAAAATATACTAATATGATTAAAAAAATAAATAATTTATTTATATATTTTAAAAAAATATAAAATATATAAAGAAAAATAAAAAATTAAATATTTATAAAGAATGTAATTTAAAAAATAAGTAATATAAAAAAATTAATAGAAATATGTAAAAGAAAAAGTATTTATCTATAAAATAATTATTAAATTAAATATATATGATATTAATATATTTAATGCATAAATTAAATAAAAAATATATATATATTTTTGAAAAACATTTTCAAAAAAAAAAAATAATATGTATAAAATTAAAAAAAAAATTAAAATTAAAATTAATAGAAAAAAAATTGCTATAAAATATATAAATAATTAAGATATTTAAATAATTAAATGTATATATGTATATATTTATATATTTATATATTTATATATTTATATATTTATATTTTTATATAAAATTCTATAAAATATTATATTTTCAATAATTATTTTTTAATATATATTATCTAATTATTTATAAATTTCATTATAAATATTATATGAAAATGAATTTAATTATTTTGTTTAAAATTTATTTATTTTTTAATAATTAATATTATTTTTTTCATATTAATTAAAAAAAATGTTATAATATATTATTTTTGACTAATTATTTTAAGAATAAAGTATTTTTATTCAGAAATTTTTTTATTTCTTTTTATAAATGTTTTTATAAATTTTATATTTTTATAATATTATTATAACATTTTATTAAATAAACTATTAATTCATTTTATTCAAAAATATTATTCTTTTTATTTATTTAAATTTTAATTAATTAATTTTTAATAATTAATGCATTAATTATTTTATTTTTTTATTTTATATTAATTTTATTTATTTTATATATTATATTTTTTTATTTTTATTATATTTTTTTTTTTTAATTTTTTTTATTTTTATTTTTATTTTTTTTTTTTTTTTTTTTTTTTTTTTTTTTTTAAATTTTTTATATTTTATCTAATTATATTTTATTTACCTTTTTTTATTTATATAATTTTTTTATTATATTTAATTTATAATTTATAATTTATAATTTATAATTTATATTTTATTTTTATTATTTATTTCATAACTTTAAAGCTATATTATAAATATATTTTTCTTTAATATTTTTTTTTTTATATATATATTTGAATTAATAATGATATATATTTATATATTTATATTTAAAAATTTATATTTTTATGTTGAAATTAAAATTATAACAATATAATTCAATATATTTTTATTATTTTTTTTTTATTTAAGAAAAAAAAAATATATATATGTAAAAAAGCAAATTTTGTTAAAATATATATCAATCTTAAATTGTTCCATAATAAAATGTTTAGACATAATAATTTTAACTTTAAACTGAAGGAGATTAAAATGATTTACTTTTAAATAATTTGAATACACCCTAACCAGAGAATTTTCAATAACTCGCTTAATGTAAAAGTATCTATATAAATTAAAATTTAGTAGGTAAAAGGTAATCTGCTTTAATTTCTCTCACCTATCAGTAGTATAATTAATATGTAAATTAAAATTTAACAGGCAAAAGATAATCTGCTTTAATTTCTCCTAGCTATTATTATTTTAATAAAATCAATAATTCTAATACTTTTTATGATAAAAAGTAAAATTAAGAATATAATAAATGCTTTAAAGAAGAAATTAAATTTAAAAGCATTTTTTATAGAACACTTATTCTCGTGAAAAAATTTATTTAAAATATAAAATTATAATCTTTATAATTAAGATTTAAATTATTATAAAGAAATCATCATTAAATTATTAATGATAAAGCTTCTGAATATGATTATTATGTATAAAAATAAATGGTTAATATTCAAAAAAAAACTCTTTTTTAGAAAATTTAATAATATTTTTAAAGTAATTTTGTTTTATTATATTTTGTTTTTCTATTTTTATTTTAGAAAATTATGATTATAATTAAAATGAATCTTATTTAAAAACTGGACATTCTTTAAAACCTGTAATTTATAAATTTAAATTAATATATAATTGTATTTTGTATTTTTTATTTTTATATATTAATATTTTTATTTTATTTCAATTAATTAATATATTTTTAAATATAATAATTTTTTTTAAATATAGAATAGTTAATTTTTTATATATTGGAATATGCTACTTATAATCCTCTTAACTATAAGAATAATTTATGTTCCTTTATAGTTATGTTATTTTGATTTTGAATTAGGTAACACTTAAACTGTAATATTTAATTTGCTTCCTGATATCGCTTTTGGAATATAAATATTTTTAAGATTCAATACAGGTAAAAAATTAATTATAAATACGAATTATAAAATAAAAAAATAGGAATCTATAAAAAAGGTCTTTTGATAACAAACAAGTCAATAATATTCCATAAATATATAAAAAAGGGATTTTATAGAGATATAATTATATTTTTGGTAATGATTTTTGATTATATAAATAGATCCTCTTGGATATAGATAATAGTAATACTTTTATATAAAGATATTTTAGATTTACTTACAGATTATGATGAAAAATATCATCTTAGAGAAAGAAGTAATGGGATTTTTGATCTCATAAAATTAGTTTGTTTTATTCTCTATATGGGACATATTTGTGGTTGTTTTTGGAATTAAATTGCTATGGCAGAAAGAGCAGCTGGATATTCTGATGATCAGCTTTGGATTCAAGTATTTAAACCTTATTGGCTTGATAGATATATTGATAGTATGTATTGGTCTGTTGTTACTATGTGTACTTTAGGTTATGGAGATATTACTCCTAAAACTAGATGTAAGAATAATTATTTTGATTATTATCTTTTATTTTAATTTTATTTGTTTAGTTGAGAAAATGTATGTGATGGCTGTTGTGCTTGTTTCAACTTTCGTTTTTGCTTTTTCTATGAATTTGATTGGGGATACTATTAAGGAGTTTTATAGAAAATAAAAAGATTTTGAAGATTATATTTAGAAAATTAATATTTATATGAAAAAAAGGAAAATTAATGAAGATACTTAAATTAGAATTCGTAAATATTTAAAACATCTAAACCAAAGAAATGAAAATATGAACTCTAAAGTTTTATTAGATTAATTAGGTTTTTTTTTTTTTTTTTTTTTGAATAAAAATAACATATATGCATTAAATTTAGAGGATGATTTAAGAGAAAAAGTGTAATATGATATTTTTGGAACTTTATTAAATAAATAATCATTACTAAAATATTAATTTGATGTATTTAAACTCGCATAAAAAATGGAAGAAAAAGTGCTTTCATTTAATTAATTTATTTATTAAGAAAATGACCAATCTGAATATTTATATTTTCTTTTGAAAGGCTCTATATCTTTTTATACTTAAAAAAATTAATTATTATTAAGCACCTCTAGTGTAATAAATAAATAAAAAAAACATTAAAAATTTATTTATAAAAAAAACATTAAAAATTTATTTATTTAAAAAAAAGCAAAAAGGTAAAATGTTTGGAGAATTAGAATTTTTTAGTGGATTACAATATAGGCATTCTGCTAAGACAAACTCAATGGTAATTTTAGCGTAAATTTCAAAATAAAACTTTCTTTAGATAGTAAAAGAAGATAATAAATACCTTGAAAAATTTATGTAATTAAAAGATTAATATAATATTTATAAAAACTATTATGGACATTAATGTGGAACTTGTTAAAAATATGGACATGATATGTTAGATTGTCCTATGATAAATTTCTTAGCAAAAAAATACTAGCTAACTATTGAATAAGATAATAATAGATAAAGTTGTATTAGAAGAAAAACCAATAAATTTAATACATTAAAAGAAGCTAAAATTACTCTATAAAAATATAAATATAGGTAGGAATTAGTAAAATATGGAAATAAGTATTTTAACAGTAATTTTTCTTATAAAAATAAATAAATAATATTTAAATTTATTTTATATTTTTTTTGTTTAAAAAAAGAACAAAATTTATAATCATTTGATAGTGTTTATTTTTCAAATAGTGATTAGATTAACAGTAGTGTTCAAGAAAAAAAGAATAAATATTAAAAAAAGTTGAAAAATAGTTTATCTTTAAATTACTTTTAGGAAATTTTAAATAAAAAAATAAAAATTAAAACGGATTAACGAAATTACAAAAAGTGGTTGAAAAGCAAAAATCATATTTTATGAAAAAAATTATATAAAATTAAAAATAATTATCATTTGATAAAAAAAATATTATTAGTATAAAAGAAGAAGAAGATAAAAGTACTTTTACTTAATAAAATCTGGAATAAATATAAGAAAAAGAAAACAATTATGTAAATGATTTTGAAAATGATTTTTTTTAAATAAAAGAAGAAGAATTTTAATAAATTAGAAATTCAAAAAATCATAGTTAAACGTTTAATATGAAATCTAATAAAGAATTAGACAAAAATCATTATTATAGTAATATTTAAAGTTAATTTTTGAAAAAAAATAATGAATTTGAATTATATTAAAGGTAGTTCAGTAATAAAACGGATAAATATTCAAATTTAAATAAAATAAATTATGATAATGAAGAAGAAGATGTTAACTCTTAAAATAAATAATAAATTGAATAATAACGCATTCATAATTAAATTTAAAAAACTAATGAATAAATAAAACATCTTTAAGAATTAAAATATTTATAAATAAATTAAGAAGACTAAGATACTGATTTTCATGAAATAGAAGAAAATGAAGAAAATTATTTACTTTAAATGACTAAATAAGGAGAAGACTTAGCAATAAAATAAGAGAATACAAGATAAATTTTACAATTAAAAGCTTAAATTATGTAAATATATTAATAATATGATGATGAATTCACTAATTCTTTTGACAAAGGAAAGGATTTCAAATATTATTATCCTTATAATAATAAAAGTGCTGTTATATAATTATTGCAAGCAAAAAGGAAAAAAATTAAACATATAAATTTGTTTATAATCGTAAAAAAAATATAAAAAAAGAAAATGATTATTTTCAAAACAATTGAAAAATTATAATACATATATTAGATCTATATTTAAATGTATTTTTTTGTTTTTACAAAAACATAAAAAATTGTTAAAAAATAAAGAATTTTATTCATTTTTATTTTATTTTATTTTATTTTATTTTAGAATTTTTATTAAATTTAATTTTTAAATTTAAAAAATAAAAAAAAAATAAAAAAAATAACTTAAAAATATAAAATAAACTTATTCATATTATTAAATATATATATAAATCTATATATGAATTCTATTTTATTATATATATAAATAAATAAGTATTTATTTTTATCTATTTTTCACATTCTATATTTATAAGATATATTATTTTAATATACTTGATTATAAAAAGGTTTTTCTTATTCTTCTTAAACCTATTTAAAACTACTTTTGCTACCAATATATGAAGTGTTTAATATTTAATCTTATTAAAAATGTCTTAAATTATCTTAAAAGTCTTTATTTCCATTTCCATTTTACTTTTATTCAAATTAATTTCTCATATTTTAAAATTAAGTACTTTTTTACATTTCATGTTGATTCACTTATTAATTTCTATTAATATGGCTACTATTTAAAGAAAAAAAAGTCGGTTAATTGCATTAAGAAGCTGGCTAGTTATCTTAATCTCTTACTAAAGGTCCGTAATTTTTTCCAGTAAAGTTTTATTTTTATTGAAATTCTTATTCTTATTGTTGATTTGTTATATGAAGCTACTATTCTTCTTTAATTGAATAACAATTTCCCATTATTTTTTTTATTTTGTTAAAAATAAATAAATAAATTTATAATATTTTATTTTTTATAAAAAAAAAAAAATGTTAAATTACTTTAATTTTTTTATTTAAAATAAAATTATAAAAAAAATTTAAGCAAAAAATATAAAAAATAAATAGTTTCATTTATCTATATATTACGTCATTACAAAATCTATTTTGTTAGTAATATTTTTATCTTTTATTATTGAATTTTCATGTCCTTCTATTGAACTAAAAACTAAATTATTTTTTATAGGTCTTACCACAAATGCTTCTGAAGCATTTGAAGTTGATAATTAAAACCAATCTTTAATATATTCGTCAAAATCTAAATTTTTAGACCATTCGATTAAATCTTTTACCTCATTATTAAATTAATCTTCATTTAAATCTATATACCTTTGATCTTTTAATGGATTAAAATCTTTGGGGATATTTAAATTTTCTTCATCTTCTTCTTGGTTTTGGTTTTGATTTTAATTATTTTATTTTTTTTATTCAAGTTCTTACTCTTCTTCTATTCTGGCATTTTTATACATATTTTAAATCCATCTTAACTTATTCTTATATTTTTTATTTTTTTAAAATGTTAATTTTTTTTTTTAAAAATAAAATAAAAAACCAATCTTTATTTCTTCTAAATTTTTTCATTTCTTTTTTCTTTTTTAAAATGATAATATTTAATTTTATTTGCTGAAAAAAGTTCTACGTAATCAGTTTTAATAAATACTTTATGAGAAATCTTAATTTTTATATTAAAAAAAAAAATATATAAAAAAATAATACTGGTCTCCATCCATTATTATCTATTCTCAAATACCATCCTTAACTTTAATAATTATCTTTATTTTATATGTATTGCTTATATTTTATTTTTCTATTTTAATCATTCTAATCTCTCTATATTACTGAATAATCTCTTGGAGCGTAACTGTTTATATCACATAATGCCCCATGTGTATATATTTTATAATAAATATTTGGTGGAAACGTCTTTTTTTATATTTAATAATTTAAATATTCATGTGTATATATTTTTTATTACTTCACCGCCTAATCTAAATCTTAAATGAACGTTTGAAGCCGTTTCTAATAATTAGGCTTCTAAAGGATTTATTGCTTTTAATAATCTTGCCGGATTTCCTCTTTTTTTTTAATTAAGATAGATCTATTGATTTTTTATTTTTTTATTTACTTGCATTTAAATAAAATGATATTGTTATAATATTTATATATTTTCCTATTTGTATATGAACGCCATAATTTTTAAATCTTAATACAGGCATTATTTTAAATCGTTAAATTGTCCATAAAAATTAATTTTATTAATATTTTTATTTATTAAATTAATAAATGAATTTAAATAAAAAAACTAGTTTATAAAAATATAAATTTTTGATATAAAAATAATATATTTATTATTTATTTATTTAAAAAGTTAATAATAAAATATTTTTATTTTATTTTTATAAAAAAAAACATATTTTTAAATAAAATGGATGATTTAAAAATATAAAATAGCCTTTAAATGAGATATAAAGCATTTAAGATTTGTAATGAATAATGTCATTTTTAAAAATAAACATTATCAGGAGATATGATTAATCATACAGTATATGATTGTTTAAAATATTGCGGAGTAAAATACTAAAAAGTATTTGAATTAGTTTTGTAGACTTTAGATGAAAATAATAATTAAAATTGATTTAAATTTATTAAATAAAATACGATTATATTTAATTAATTAATTTATAGTTTAAATTAATAAACATATATTTTTTATTGATTATTAAAAAAAATGGTTTGAGTATTTTATTATTAATATTATTTTTTAGCTAAATTTTAAATTTTCTTATCTAAATTAAATAAATATAGTTTTTATTAAATTCAGACAATTAATTCTCATTTTCAATTTAAATATAGATTATTAAAAATAAATTATAAATTAACTTCATTTTAGAACTTTTTAAATTAATTTTTTTAAATTTAAAATATTACAGTATTTATATTTATAAAAATTATTATTTTTAGTCTTGTTTATATATTTTTTAGGATTGATATTATTATCTTTTTATTTCAATATATAATTAAAAAATACAGATATTTATAATGTATTTTTCAATTTAAATATAATTTTTTTTATAGAACCAAATTAATTTTATTATTTATTAAATAAATTTTAATAAAAAGTAATTTTCGACATAAACAATCAATACAATAATATGTTGCTTTTAGAAAACATAGTTATAAATTAATAATTCTTTTTAAAAATTTAAATTTGATATAAAGAAATACACAATTTACGTGAATTTGCTTATTAAATATCTTAAATAATAGATAAATAAATAATTTAATTAAGATAAATATTTTTATCTTCAAAATTATAAAAATATAAAAAAATTTTGAAAAAAATATATTTTAATTTTTTTTTTTTTATTTCAGTTTGAATCAATTATAATGATAATAAAAATTAAAATTAATAATTATATTTATATTTATTAAATTTAAATAATAAAATTAATATACATATATATATATATATTATTTTTTTTTTCATAAAATAGTCTCAGTAAAGAGAAAAAAAAAGCACAACAGTATTAAAAAATAGGTTTTTTTAAACTTGAAAAAATACTAACCTTCGAAATTCTTGAATAAAAGAAAAAAGAAAAATATAAATATTATTCAAAAAAAAAAAAATAACACTCAAAATAAAATAAAATAAAAAATTAATTAAAAACATAACAAATGAGAGCAAAAAGTAGTGTAAAAATAAAAAGCTCATTAAATAGCAAAATATTTTATCCATCCATAGACTCAAATAATCAATAATACGATTAATAAAGTACATAAATTCCTAGTTAATTTTCATCCTAATAAAGTTTACCAAAGATAATAAAACTTCCCTAACTATCATGTAGAGCCTGGGGAATATATAACGAACATGATGGCTAATTAATAAAGGGATTAAATACAACTCGAATTCGAGAAATGGCATCAATAACGAAAATAATGACGTGCTTAGTATCATTAAGGTTATTAAAAAAGTACAATTTTAATTCCAAAAAGCTATATTTTAGTGTTTCAAATTAAGCATCAACATCCACAGGTACAACAGCTAATTTAAAATATAATGAATGGTATACAGTAAATGATTTATTATATGGATTAATGCTTCCTTCAGGAAACGATTGCGCAATAAGTTTAGCTGAGAACTTCGGATGCATTCTTTATTTTGCTAAATAAGGCTAATTTAAAATGTTAGAAGGGATAGATAGTGTAGATGTTTTAGATGATTATTATGTGGGGACATATGTGTAATTATTTGTCAAAGAGATGAATAATATTGCTTAGGAATTCAAACTTAAAAGTACTAAATTCACTAATCCGCATGGATTATCTGACAAAATGAATAGATCTACATGTAATGATTTGGCTTTTATTACTTAAAAAGCACTTTAATAGCATGAATTTAGGAAAATTGTATAGGCCAAATATCATGTTGCGTATTATAAAAAATTAAGTATTTAGAATTAATAAGAATATAAAAATGAATGGGTTAATACAAATAAATTGCTAGATAAAGGTAATTATTTTGGAGTTAAAACAGGAATCACAAATAGTGCAGGCTCTTGCTTAAGCTCACTTTATTGTGATTATATTAAAGAAATTAATCAAGATGTAAATATTATTATTGTTGTTTTGGGGTCATTTAAGGCTGACGGAAGGTTTGATGATACTGAAAGTATTGTTGAATGGTATATTAAATAATTAAAGGATGGTTCTATTTGAGTATCTTATATTTATTTTTATAATAAATAATTTATTTTTATATTGATGTTAACTTTTTATATTGTTAAATTTTATTTTCTAAGTTTAATCTTATTGTTTGTAAAAATAGAAATAATTAATAAATAAATAATTTTAAATTTTTTTTATACTTTTTTAAATTTTTAATTTTAATTCTAATGAAATTATTTAATAATTTTTTTATTTATTATTTATATGATTTTTTTTATATATATTTAATAAAATAAAAAATATTTTTAATAATGTATACAGAATATCATTATAATAACTGATTATATTGAAATTAATATTCACGAAATAAAAAATAAATATTTTATAAGTTTTTATTTAAGAATTAATTGCGGATAGTTTATTCAAAATTTTTAAATTAAATTATAAATCAAATAAATAACTTCAGTTTTTTTTTTTTTTTTTAAAAAAATATATACTAAAAATAAATAAATTAAAAAAATAAAACAATTAATAATAATAATAATTAATACAATAGAAACATAATTCAAAAAAACATAAAATTTACATTAAAATAAACAATATTAATATTAATTATATTTTATTTCTAAAAAAAAAATAAAAATAAAAAGCAAAAACAAAAACAAAAAAAACTAAAATAAAAATAAAAATAAAAAATTAATATAATGAGCCGCGCCGTTCTTTAACCATTCGAAGAATATCAAAAAGCTCGTGTATAATTCGTTCAAACAGTAGCCGTTCTAGCCCGAAAGCCATAGAATATCGAAGCATTACAAGCGGCAGGAGTAATGGCTTTACTAAAACCATTATTATTAGATAATGTACCTTCAATCCAATAAAGTGCCGCCTTAGCTTTAGGTCGTTTAGCGAATTATTCTGAAGATCTAGCCGAAGCAGTAGTTTCAGCCGATATATTAAACTAATTGGTATTAAGTCTTTCAGAATAAAATCGTTTTTATAAGAAAGCAGCCGCTTTTGTACTTAGAGCAGTTGCAAAACATTCCACTAGTTTAGCTCAAAATGTAGTAGATTCAGGCGCTTTAGATGCCTTAGTAGTTTGCTTAGAAGAATTCGATCCTTCGGTAAAAGAAGCAGCCGCTTGGGCTCTTTCTAATATAGCAAAACATTCAAGTGATTTGGCTTAAAGTGTTGTCGAAGTTGGAGCTGTACCTTTACTTGTTTTATGTCTATAGGAACCTGAAACTGCTCTTAAAAGAATATCAGCAGGGGCTTTAGGTGAAATATGTAGACATTCATAAGAGTTAGCTTAAAGTGTAGTTGATGCAGGTTATTTTTTTATATTTTTATTTTTTTTATTCTTATATTATTTTTTTAGGTGCTGTGCCTTTTTTAAGTGCTTTAATTCCACATAATGATGCTTAATTAAAAAGATAGGTTTGTAATTGTTTAGGTTATATTGCTAGACATACTATTGATTTAGCAGAAAGAGTTGTCGAAGCAGAAGTTTTCCCGAAGATTCTCTATAGATTGAAAGATTAGGATTTATTAGTGAGAAAATTCGCTGCTACTTGTATTAGAGAAATAGCTAAATAATCATAAGATATGGCCAAACTTATTTGCAATTCTGGAGGTGCAGTAGCAATTGTTGATTATATTAATGATGCTAAAGAAAGTGCTAGACTTCCTGGAATTATTACTCTTGGGTATATTTCTGCTTTTGATGAATCTTTGGCTATGGGTGTTATTTCTGCTAAAGGTAATAAAAATATTAAAAATTAATTAAAAAAAATGAAAAGGCATTCCTCCATTAAAAGATGCACTTATAAAGGAAAAGGATGATCTAGTTTAAGCCGCAGCTGCATGGACTTTAGGTTAGATTGGAGGACATAGTCCTGATCATGCTAGGGCTATGGCAGAAGCTGATATCCCAAGTGCTTTATTAGCTGTGTATAAATTTAGAGATAGTAGTGAAGATTTAAAAAAGAAAGCGAAAAAAGCCCTTAAAAGTATTTTATAAATGTGTAGCTTTTTAAATGCTTTAGAGCCTTTAATTAGTGAGGCCCCAGATGATATTTTGTAGTATGTTTTACATTAGTTCGCTAAAACTTTACCTCATGACAATGTTGCTAAAAAGAGCTTTGTTTAATCGGAAGGTCTTAAAAAAATTTAAGAGATTAAAGCAGCACCGGGATCAAAGTTAAGGTAGTATATAGATTCTATTAATTCTATTTATCCTTAAGAAATTATTTAATATTATACTCCAGGTTATTAATAGACTTTGCTTAAAAAATTGGATGATTATAATACTGGAGATTGATTTTTTTTTTATTATTTATTATTAAATGTTATATTATATGGAATATTTCATTACCATCTTCTATTTTATACTTACCATTAATTTTATTCTAGTATTTATTTTTTAATATTAATGTTATTCTATTAATTTATTTAATTAATAATAAATATTAATTAATGATTCTTAATTTTATTTAAACATTATATTAAAACAAAAATAAAGATATTTAAAAAAATAAAAAGATTAAAAAAAAAAATTAAATGCTTATTTTTTCTTTATTTAATAAAATATAATATTCATTTGCAAAAGTAAGTTAGAAGAATTAAATTCTTTTAAAATCAGCCCCAAAGAAAAAAAGAAAAGAAGGAGAATTTACTGAAAAAGGAATAGCTTAATTGAAACAAAAAGAATAATTATTAATAAAAGAAAAGTTCAAAAAATAATAATTATAAGTATTATTTACTTTTTATAAAAAAAAAAAATCAGTTTTAAAGCAGGATTTACACCGTAAGAAGTTGAACCTTATAATGATATGGTAAAAAAAGCTTTAATATTAAATAATGCAAGTCCATCTGAAATAACACAATTTAAAGTAAATTAAGCAATATAAAAATTCAAAGTTTCACCAAGAGACACTAGTTCTGCAGCAATATAAGGTTTTATTTTTTTTTTGAAATAAATAAGTGTATTTATTTTACTTTTTATCGAAAAAAAAATAGTTGTTGTAAGAACTGAAAAGATATTAACCTTATTAAAACATTGTTAAGAAAATAGATAGGATAAATATGCGGGAAAATAACTAAGATCAACAATTTAATAAAGAAGAAAATGGCTTAATTATTTAAGAATGACTGATTATCATCGTTATAAATGGCTTTGTAATGAATATTGTATTCCTGATGTTCCACCTAAACTTGGACATCATAAAGATTTCTTTTATTTAAAACCGAAACCTTTACCTAATATTAATTGAAAAAAAGATGAAAATTTTTTAACAAAAGAGATAAATATTTATTTAAAATAAAAATTATTAATATTATGTATGGATTTAATATATTTTAGTTATTTTATTTAAGAAATAAAATATATTTATATGTATTATTTTTCAGATTATAAATATATATATATATATATATATATATATACATTTATTTATTTATTTATTTTTAAATTCTTTTTTTATTTTTTTGTTTGTTAAATTCTCTTTTATTTATATTTTTATAATTTTTTTTTATATTTATTTGTGAAATTATTATAAATTATAGAAAATATTCATAATTTATAATTTTTAATTTTTATTAATATTAATTTAAAAATTTAATAAATTCCATAAAAAAATTAAATATTTTTTATATAATATTTATTACTTTTATAATGATGATATAAGAATAATTAATAGCTAATTTTACTAATAAAAAAATACGATAAAAGTTATCTTTTATAATATTTTACATAGTGAATTTATTAAAAAATTATATATATATATTTTATTTAATTTTCAAAAAAAAATATCTTCATATATTAATTTATTTTTTTTCCTCTCAAATTCAACTACACCAGAATAATCACTAGCATTTACTGCTACAAAAACTTTATCTTCAATAGAATCTATTCCTACCATTTCTCCAATTAAATCAAATGATTAATAGTTTTAATAATCGCTTTAAATATCATAAAAATGTACATAATTAATGCTTTCTATAAAAGCCAAAAATTACTCATTTCCTATATATTATACTTCGAAAGTATTACCAACATTCGCTTAAAGGACATGAACTGATTTATTACTTTTCCTAATATCCCAAACCCTTACAGTAAGATCTTGATTTCCAGTAGCTAAATATACTCCATCTTATTTCCAATCTAAAGTTAATCCATAATCTTAATGTCCCTTTAATTTTTTTGTATATTTTAAATAATTAATAAATTGAAATAAATTACCACTAATATCTAAACGATTTATTTTTAACGAAAATCAGCTATTTCAGCTTCATTTTTATCACAAAACATAGCAATAATATTTCTATTATCAGGTTTAAATTTCGCAATATTAACAAGTTCGCCAGCGTCTAAATAATCAATTTATTTTCTTATATTTTCAACATCAAAAATACTAATTAGTTTATCATTTTAGCAGGTTAAAATATACAGATTATTTCCTTCTTAGAACAATTTAATGTAATTAATAATATCTCCTTTATCTTCTTGTGCATAATTTCTAGTAACATTATGCATATAGGTACTTTTTAAACTTTTTAAACATTATAAAAATAGGCCGCCATTTAATCCTCCTAATGCAATAATATTTTTATTGGTATTAATATCAAAACAACAAGGCGATAATCCGTCTACAAAGTGAAAATCTTTTAAGCTTTCTTTTAATGTGCAACAATGAGTAATTCCTCCTCTATTAAAATATGTAAAGTCATGATAAGAAGTTGCTTATAAGCAATGACGAAGCTAATAATGATTATATTTTGGCTTTAAGCCTTTATAAAATTTCTTATATAAAAAATATTCTTCTTTATTAACTTAGTTTCTCTTAGGATACTTTTATAAAGGCTAATCGTGCTATCGGTGAGGGTTAAATTATGTTTCCCTTTATAATAACCAGTTTTCTCTTGTTTAACCTATTGTTACGGACCATTTTATTCCTTGGAAATCTAATACGTTTAGGTCTTACCGGTCTACATCTTCTGATTTAATTACTTTGATATTTTATTTTTAAAATGGTTAACGATTTTTTAATTCTTTTTATTGTAATAGGTTTGCTTGGTAAATTATTGGATTTTATGTTGGTTATTCTTCTTGGATGTTTTATTAATTTTCTTCTTCTTCTTACATTATTTTTTACTTTTACTTTTTTATAAACTTTTTCTGTTTTCTCTATTTTTTTAAATATATATTATTGATTTTTTTTATGTTTAATTTTATTTTTTTCTTCTTATTTTTAAAGAAAAGTATTATTTTATTTTATCTATAAGTTTTTTTTTAATATATATATAATGTTTTTTACAACATTTTTTTTGTGAAATTCTATTAAATAAACGTATGGATTCTATTATAATTTCTATAATTATAAAATTATTTATATATATTTTATGTATTTAGTTTAATTAGTATAATTATATTTTTCATTATATAATATTATTTATAAGATTACATAAAAATATAAAATTATTTATATTTAAATATATTTATTATTATTAAATTAATTATTTTTAATAAGATATAAATCATATTTTTTTATTTACTAAAAAATATAATATTATAATGCTTGTATAGTTTAATTTTTTTTTATATTATAAAATAAAAAAAAAATATGATGAAGAAGGAATCAATTAATATGTTTTTTAATAATTTAGAAATTAAATAAATAATTTTTTTATATTAATAATTTAATTTTTATCTAATTTATCTGTTATTTATATTTAAAAATATATCTTTTCCTTTAATAAAACATTTTAATAAATATTTTTTTTTTAAAAATATGCATAAATGGATAATAATTAACTTAAATGATTAAATTTTCTCAATGATTTTTGACAAAACTTCGATTTTAATTTGAAATAAAAGGCAAAATAGCTTAACAATATTAACATTTAAAAATAAATCAGATTAAATTATAATTTAAATAATAAAATTCTCTTCTTCAAATTTATAATAATACAAGATGTTATGAGTCTGATCTGAAAATACAAAGACTAAAATACAAATCACTTAGATGTAATTCAATAAAACCCTTTTCGTGATATTTACTTAAATAAATGGTTAAAGAAAATCCAAACAAAAAAAATAAGTTTTTAATAATTATATTAAAATTATAAGAATATTAGGAAAATATTTTAATTGAAGAAGGATTTTAAAACTTGGATTTATTTAATAATAAATAATACAGTTTGTAGAGGCATATCCAGGTAAATCGAAAATGTTTAAAGCTTATTAATTTAAAGTATAAATTAATATAAAGTTAATTAAGAAATTTAAATAATAAAGAAATCGAATTTTGAAAAAGTAAAATAAAGATTTTTTAATTTAAAATATATTATTAATAATAATTTTGTTTAAAATAATTATTCTATTATTATATATATCACTTTTTTTTTTTATTATATTAAATATTAATTATGATTTATATTATCAAGGAAGACATAAAGTAAAATTTAGTTTAAAAATAATGAATGTTAAATTCATAAAAATAAATGAAAAGATATTAAATATAATAATACTTTTTGTAGTTAAAATTATGTAATTAAAATATTTTTTTTATACTTTTTATATTATAAAAATATTTTTTTTTTATTTTAAAAATATAAATATATCAAAAGCAAAATTAAATATATTTTATTTTTTCTTTATTCTCTATCAATAAATATTTTATAAATTAATGTTTTAATTTGGATTAGTAGGAAATTCTATTTATTATGGGATGGTATTTTTTGGAGTTGGATCGTTTTGTACTTTTTTTATAAATAATATACTAAAAATCAATTAAAATAATAATAAATAAAGTTTATATGTTGAAAGAAATCAAAGAATAAACAGCTATAATAGATGAAAATGTAAAAAAAAAAATAATTAAAAAACAAAACAAAAAATATATTATTTTAATATCCATTATAAGCTTGCAAAAGAAATAATATAACAATAAGCAAAAAATTAAATTAGTTAATAAGAAAAAAATAAAATAAATTCAAAATAATTATCGCCTTAAGAAATTTATTAATTAGCAGCTAAAATGCGATTAAAAGATAATGATATTTAAATATAATAAAAATTAGAAGTAAAGGATATATAAGATGAAGGAAAACCAGCAGATATTTGATTAAATATATAAATGTTTTTTTTAAATGTAATATATATAATAAAAATAAAATATTTATAAGGAAATTTCTATATTAATTATTTATTAAACTATATTATTTAAATAAAAATTAGAGTGGTGAAATATTATAAAACAAATAATTATTATTTAAACAAAATATAAAGAATATAAAATAAGTATTTAATAAACATTTTTATATAGATTTATTTTTTATATATTTATATTTAAACATATATAATATATTATTTTTGATATGATAAAAGTCTATTTTCTTTATTCAAATATATGATTTTTATTTTAATTTCATATTTTTAAATAGAGAAGGATTATTTTTTTATTATAATAAAATAATTAGTAGGTTTTAATATATTTTATATTTATAAGTTCTTTTAAATTTATTATTATTAAATTGAAATCATTTATAATTACAATTAAATATACTTAACTTTTCTTTTTTAATAATTATGAATTTCAATTTCTTCAGCAGCACTACTAATCATTAAATTTTTCGGCTTTTATTATTTATGATATTCATCTTCTAATTAATTAATGCTAAAAATAGATAACTTACTATCTATATTATTAATCGAAGGATTTATAGAAGGATTTATGGATGGATTGTTAGATAAACATTCTTTTATATCTTAATTATTAATTTTAATAGATTATGTAGTCTAAGCTCTTTATATTTTTAAAAATATATAATAATTTATTATTTAATTACCTAGTGCGTTAAGGTGTAGAATTATTCTATATAGGGCTATTATTCGTTGACTTTAGAAAACTAAGTTTATGTGATTTCAAATAATTCTTTTATTATTATGCTTTTTAACTAAAAATTAATAATTTTTTATGTGAAAATATTTTCTTTAATTTTACATTTTAAATATTTCATATGCATCTTCAGGCTCAGTAAAAAAAGGACTATTTAAAGCTTATTTTGCACATATCCTTTAGTTTGGATTTATTTCAAGCATACTTTTTAACAAGTTATATGCTATTTTTATTTAAAAAAATAAATAATTAATATTTTAATTTTAAATCTTTACCTGTCTTTGTAGTATTCTCACTTAGTTCTTATAATTATTAAGCAAAATCACATTTTTTATTACTTTCAAGAATTTCTTAATGGGTTTTTCCTTAAAAGAGTTTTTTTTAAGTTAATCTTATTTTTTAATAAAATTTAATTAAAAAACATTTATAAAATAAGTATTACAATTTATAAAATATTATCCCGATAGAAAATATATCACATTATACTCCATATAATTATTAACTCTTTGTATCAAAGTTAATAACTTCAGGAGCTACATAACCTGGTGTTCCACATTTTTAATTATAACATTTTTAATCAATCTTTTTAAAATAATATAAATATTTTATATTAAATTTTATTTTTTTACAATCTACGATAATCCGAAATCTACTATTGCTAGTTCTAAACTATCCTTTTGCTTAAACATTATATTATCAGGTTTCAAATCTCTATGCATGATACCAAATGAATGTAAATAATCTAAACCTGATAGAATTTATTTTATTATTTATTTGGTTTAATTATAATTAGAGTTGTAAATTATATTTTCTATAGATCCTCCACTGTAATATTCAGACACAAAATGATAATATTTGTCTGATTCATAAAATTCTTTCACATTTAGAAGGTTATTATGATTAATTGTTTTTAAAACGTTTATTTCATTTAATAATTCTTCCTATAAAAGTTAAAAATAAATGAATAAAATATATAGAAGAAATTTATAATATAAAATTACTTTTCCATTAGGTTCTTACATTATGCTATTCTTAATAATTTATTTTACAGCATATATTTAATTATCATGTTTCTTTTATGCCAATATAACCTATTTTTTAATTAAAGATATTTTATAATATAATTAGTAATAAATAAAAATATTAAAAAATAAATATTTAATTAAAAAAATTAAAAAGAAATATATTAATTTTTATGGTTCTTTAATTATAATTAAAATATATTAAGATTATAATTTATTTTATAAATATTTAATTTAATAATAATATAATTTATATATATATATATATTTAATATACTATTGAAAAGTTTCCTTTTCCTATAATAGATTTCTATTCATAAAAGTCTTTATAATTTAAACAAAGAATATAATTTTATAATAAATTTATCCAATTAATCAAATCATCACTTTTTGATTCTTAAAAACAAATTACTTCTTTTTCTCTATTTTTATAAATTATTAATGAATTATCTTTCATTTCATAAGTCAAATTTAAATCACAACTTACTAATGCAACATTTTTTTAAAACTTTAAAAAATTAAGATATATATATATATATATATATATATAAATATATTATATAATACATATGTATATATTTATATATATATTTTTTTTATTTACGTTATTTAATACAAGTTTGTTTTCGTAAAGTATTAATTTTCCTTCAAATTTTTTTTTTTATTTTCTGTTATCAGATATATATTAGATTCTTATTATGGTTCAGAATAAAAAATAGTATTACATTCTATCCATATATTTTTATTGAATTCAAGCATCTTTAGTATATTATTTTTAATGTTTTTTTATTTTATTATAATAGTATTTTTATTTGTTTTTTTTATTAAATATTAAAATTTTAATGTAATTTAACATATGTTTTTATTTTATTTAATATAGATAATCTTATTTTTATGTATATTTTATTTAATAATTTAACAAAAAATATTCAGTATCATTAATAATTTTAATTTTTATATAAATTTTCAACAAATTTATTACCTCAAAATTAAATTTTATATATTTAATTCTTATATAATAATTTACTATTATAAAAACTTTCTAACGCAATACTTTTTAATTAAATTTACAAAATAAAAAAATAATAATTATATGTAAATAAATATATTTAATATTTTTATATATTATAACAAAATAAGCATTTTTGACTGAATTTTTATTAATTCAATTTATTTTAATTATTTATTATATGAATTAATTTCATTTTAGTAATAAATGTATTATTTGTTTTAATTTTTTTAAAATCTTAATTAATAATATAATATAATTAACATGTATATTTTTTAAAAAAATTCTATGAATTTAATTAATTATAAATGCTATATTTTTACTACGATTTTAATAAAAGAGAAATTTATATCGATTTTTTATTATTATAATTATTATTATGTTTTCAGATATTATTAATTTTTATTTTTTTTATACTGCTCACTTTTTTAATATTTAATCTTTATTAATTTTTACACTTGATAACATATAATTGAATATAACAAATTGATTTTAAATATTTATAATTTATAAAAGAACTATTTATAATTTTAATGTTATATTGTTTTTTATTAAATTATTTAGTATAATTAGATATTCTCGAAATTTATTTATTTTCATTTTAAGATTCAGAATAAAAATTAACGGAAATTCATATATATTAATCCAAATCGAAAGTAAAAATATAAAAAAACTAGAATTAAATCGATTAAAAATGAAATTAAAATAGAAATCGAAATATTAAATAAATAGATAATATTTAAACTTATTCAATTAAAAAAAAATAGAATAAAATAATATGAATTTAAACCATTTTCAAGGATAACTGTACAATATGTTATTATCTTTAATTAAAGTTCACTTTTTTAATACATAGAATATTTAAATTTGTTAATTTAATAATTAATTTTTAAATTTAATTTACTTAATTAGTAATAAATTAATTGTTTATTTTATAAGTAGAAATAACTAGATAATTGATTTTTAAATTTTAAACATACATATAAAAATATATTTTAAATAATTATTTTAATAAAATATTGTACAAAAATCATTAACTTATAAATATTATTTGATATATATGTATTTTTTTATATAATGCTATTTATTCAGAAGTTATTTTACTATCTTATTTAACTAAATTAATTTTTTATAAATTAAAAGCCTTTAAATATTATTAATATTTAAAAAAATAAAAATATTTAATATAAAAAAATAATAAAAAAAAATGATTAAAATATTTAAATAATATAAAATAAAAAACTAATAAAAAAACATATAATCAATATAAAATCTATGTTATTTTTTTACAAAAAAATAAATAAAAGCTATTCATTTCTTTCTAACAACACCAATAGTAACTCCATGACGTCCAGTAGTTTTGGTATGTTAGCCTCTAACTTTAAGTCCCCAAAAATGTCTGAGACCTCTGTGAGATTTAATTTTTTTTAACCTTTCTAAATCTTCTCTTATTTTAGTATCAAGTGTATTGGAGGCTAATTAATAATTTTTACCATCTTTAAAGTCGTTAATTCTATTAAGTAACCATAATGGAATTCCGAATGATTCAGGGTCACTAATTACTTATGTGATTCTATTACATTAATCTTCAGTCAAGGTTCCTGCTCTTGAATTGGGATCTATTTTTAATACTTTGCAAATTAAATGAGCAAATCTTCTTCCAATACCTCTGATTCCTGTTAATGCAATAGGAGTTCTTCTTTTACCATCAATATTTGTATTTAAAATACGATGAATATATTTAAAGTCAGATTCTTTTTCAATGATGAAACTCATATTTTTTTTTTTTTTTTTCTTTATAAATTTTATTAAGTTTTTTTTTTATTAAAATGAAAAATTATATCTTATATTTTTATTTTATATATTATTATTACTATTTATATTAAATTTATATCTTAGATATATCAAATAATTTAATACCATTTTTTATTGTAATATAGCTGTTCATTTTAATTATTTTATTTATTTTTTTAATTTATTCATTTATAATAATAAATTATTTATAATATATTTTATAATTAAATACAATTAATATTATTTTTTGTTATTAAAGTTTATATAAATATTTGTTATTTTTCATATTATAAATTTGTTAGTTTAAATAATTATAAATATGTTAAATACAAATAATTTTATATTTTATATATAAATAAAATTTATTATTATTTAACAATATTAATTTACTTACATTAAACCAAAGCCTATTCTATTCTCCAAAAATTAAATATCAGTTTTCATTTTATTATATTTCTGATTTAAAAGTATTCTTATAAATAATTTTTTATAATATAATTATTAATTTTTTATTTTATTTTTATACATATGAACTATCTTTAATTAATGTAAATTCAAACTTAGAAACTCTTGAAAAATTGTTATAAGTTGGAAGTAAATTTTTTTGTACCAATATCGTTAATTTAGGGATAAAGTTCCAAGGAGTAATTAATAAAGATCTGGGCCTAAACTCATATTTTAAATTTGTAAATTAATTATCTTCATGATTAGAAATAACTAATATAGTATAATTATATTTGTGACACAACTATTAAAATATTTCATTTATAAGTAATATTAAATTCTTATATTAATTAAATTCATTATAAAAACTCATTATAGAATTAAAATTATCAATAATAATTATATTTGTATTATTTTATAATTATATGTCATTATCTAACTCCTATAATATCAAGCATAATATAATATATAAATAACTAGAGTTTCCAGCTTTAATATGTCTAAAATATTAGCAAAATTCATTTTTTTTATCATTTAGTAAATTCTTTTTATATTATTTATTTATATTATTCGTATATTTAATTATAAAATAATAATAATTGGTGATATTAAACATAATTTACTATTTATAAAAACTTTTTTAAATTGAATTAATTCTCAACATCTATATACCATCCTCCTTTGTTGTTCATTATAAAATTTCTAGCTAACAGCTATTAGCATAAAGTTGATTTTCCAGATAAAGATTAACCACATAGTTCATAAATATAACCTGGTTGTAAACCACCTTAAAGCAGTTTATCTAATCTTTATTAATTTTTATTATATATTTAATTTTTTTATTTATTAACTGTTATTCTCCAAACTATAATTTAGGTACACTTAATTATTAATTTAATATTTCGAGTCCATTTTAAAGTTTTTAACTAGTATATAATTCACCTAATTATTATAAATCTTTGTAAATTTACTTTTTTATAGTATAAATTTCAAAAGTATTTTTTTTATAAATACACTTCCTTATTTTTATTAATTTTGATAAATAGATTAAATCTCGAGATCAGATTTTAAAGTAAATTGGTTTACTATTTTATTATATTTTTTAACAAAAGTGATTAAATTTACTGTTTTCACATTCAAATTATTGTAATAATCTTTTTATTTCTTAATTTTAATTATCCATATTAAATTTATATGATATAAATAAAATATATTTATCAAATATTTTACAATAAAATAAAAATATTATTTATAATTCTTTTATTATTAGTTAATTACATTTTATAATATTGAAAAATACTAAAAAATAAATATATGAAATAAAAATTAAGATAATAAATAATATTATAATGAATTTTAACAAATATATTTTAAACATATTTTTTATAAGATTATTAATCAATTTTATAATTATAATTAGAAAACATCTTGAAACTATAATTTATTATTACAACTAACATTAATAAATGAATTATTATTAACATTCATATAATTATTATTGTTTTTATTATTAAGCATATTTTAACTTGAATTAAGATTATTATCATTATTCTAACTATTGTTTGCAATATTAATTATTTTCTTTTAAGCTAAAATTTATATATATCATTTTAATGTTTTTTTTTTTTTTTTTTGTACCTTTGCTAAATTAATTAATTTAAGAAGAATGTGTTGATTTAATTGAATTATTGAAATTACTAATAGATTAAGGTAACATATGACTAGGATATATTGCTTTATTTATATTTTGAACTTTTTAGTTATATATTTTTTTATAAAGATTTGACAAAGGATTTTTCAGATCTTTTATTTCATTACATAATTACTCTTAATTAGTATTATTATATCCCATTCCAACCTAATAAAAATAAATAAATAAAAATAATTATAAATATATATATATATATATATATATATATATATATATATATACAATGCTTTTAAGAATATCAGAATCTATACCTTCTATATAGTCATCTTCATTTAAAAAGTGTAAAGGAATACTATTATTATTAAATTGTAAAAACGAATTTGCATTTTGATTGCTAGAATTATTTTTATCAGATACGTAAGTACAATCTCTAACATTATTATTTTGATTATACTCTTATTAATTCTTATAATATTATTAATGTAATAAACCGTTATCTCTTCTCGATAAATTATCTTATATATTGCTTGTGAAATAATTCTAATTATTTCTTTAAGTATTTTTTGCAGTCAAAGGTAATGGAGGTTTTTATGTAGGACTATTTAAATCCATATTATTATTATTTAATTAAATAACTATATTTTTATTGTTTTTAAAATAGTTATTTTTATTATTTATATTTTAAGGAGTATAAGAAACCATATTTGGATAATATACCAAATTCATATTTAAATTGCCAAATTGTTCATTTTGTAAAGGTTTATTAATTTAATATTTTTCTATATGAGACTGATTCATATTATTATAACTTAAATTATTTTTTTAATTATTTTATACATTACTACTACTATTTTGATTTGTATTTTGAGGTCTATAAAAATTAAAATGTTCATTCTATAACATTTATGTGTTCTTATTTTGGTTAATATTTGGTTTACTTTTATTAAAATTCAAAGAGTTATTATTTATATTATTAATATTAATTTAAGCTTGATTGTTTATAAATGAATTATTATTTCTTTTTTCAATATTTAAGTTTTTATTATTATTTTCATGTATATTATCTAATTTAGATGTTAAGTTAGCTGTATTGCTTAAATTATTTTTTACATTTTAATAAAAATTACTTGTTTAATTATACGGACTATTTTATTGTAAATAATTATTTACTAAAATCTTACTACTGTTACAATTACTATTATTAATACTGTTTTTTGCACTATTATTACTTTAATTTTAGTTACGTGTTGCTTATATGTTTAAATATTTTTACTCATTATTTTGATTATTTTATTAAGGATAATTGTTAATTTATTATAAATAATTCTATTTTTCGCTTTATATTTAATTTAATATTTATTGTTAATCATTTAACTAAGTATCTTTTACGTAATTCTAAAAGTTTTATTAATAATTTTATTATCTTTAAATTTACGTAATTAAAATATTTTTATTCGGTAATTTTTATAATTATTAAGATTATTAAATTTACTATTATAATTGAATTTATTATTGTTATTAAATCTATTATTATTATTTTTATAAGTTAGTTTCATATTATTATTCACCTCCTTTTATATTTATTATTTGTCCTTAGTTATCATTTTTATTTTACATCCATACATGGATTAAAATCTTTTTTTTATATTTTTAATATATACAGATTAAAAATATGTATTTATTACCTAACTTGCAGTAGGCCTTTTATCTGACTCAACATTCAAAATCCATTTAAGAAATTCGTCTGCTTCTTTAGTAATACTTTCACAACAGACAAATTCTCCTTTAGTAATTTTTTTATATAGTTCTTTATCTGTTTAACCTATTTTTGTAATTAATATTTAAAAAAGAATAATATATAAATTAAAAAATAAAACCTTTAAAAGGAAAAGTTCCATTAAGTAAAGCATACAATAAAACACCTAAAGCCCATATGTCAGCTGGAGGTCCACAATATTCTTATTTATTAATAATTTCAGGAGCCATATAAGAAGGAGTACCACAAAACATTTTATATTTTTTATCATTAGGAATACATGTAGAAAATCCGAAATCGATAAGTTTTGGGTTATTATTTTCATCTAGAAGTATGTTTTCAAGTTTAATATCTCTATGGCAAATTTATTTAGAATGACAATATTCAATAGACGAGACAATTTATCTAAAAATATTTATGGCATCATTTTCACTAAGTCTTCTATTAGCTTATTATTTCAAGTATCCATGAAGTGAATTTCCAGGAATATATTCCATAATTATATTAACATGATTATTAGTTTCTATTGTGTCAAACATTTTTATTACATTAGGATGATCTAATTACTAAAGGAGGATTATTTCCCTTCGTACTGATTTTTTTCTTTATGGTTCTTTAATTCTTTATTTTTCATATATTTTTATTGCTACTTTTTTATTAAATATTTTATTTAAGGCTACCCTAACTGTTGCATAAGCCCCTTACCCTATTTATTTTCCTACTAAATATTCTTCTTTAAACTTTAATGTTTTATCTTATTTTTCTGGTGATTCCTTTTTATCTAAATTTTTGTTTTTATGAATATAATATTCTTCATCGTTCATTCCACATAAAAACTTGTCCCGTTCTTAACATTTTGAATCTTCAGCAAGAAATTTTATATTGTTTGTGAAATCTTTATTTTATATATTTTATGTGAAAGGATTTTCCCTTGTTGTTAAACATTTCAATTTCTACATTTATTAAGAAGGATTTGTATCTTCTTTTTATTAATTTTCTTCTTTTAGGATATTTGTTGGATTTTTTAGTACTTAAGTTTTGTTATTTTACATAAATTCAAATTTGAAATTGTCGTTTTAATTTCTTTTATTATCACAAGTCATATTTTAATATTACAGTTATTCTGGAAATTCTATTTTTTTGGCCTCTTTTGTTGATAAAATTTTAATAAAGTTTTATTAGTCATTATTATTATTTTATATAACTTTTTATCCTATTGCTTATATTACTTATTATATTTGTTAACGGTTAGTTTATTATTAGATATTATTTTGGATTTGCTATTGTTGATTTTGTTATTATTATTAATTTTATATTTATTATAATTGAAGTATTTATGAATTTTTAGTTTATCTATATTATTGTAAAGTATTAATATTATTAGCAATTTGATAAGAGTTTTTTAAATTATTCTCTTAATTTTATATTTTATAAGATAATAGATTATTATTAATATTATTATTTGAAGATGATATATTTCTTTTTGAACTTTAAATATTTTAGGAATCATTTAAATGTACATATTAATTATTGTTGATTTGAACATTTCTTTCCTTTGTTTATTATTGTTAAATTGTTCCTTTTTATTATTAAAAATCACTTAATGGTACATTTATTCTCATATTAATTTATTATATTTTATTGGTTATATTTTTTTAATTTTAAAATCTTTCTAATCCAAAAGAAGAAGGAATTAACTATCCTTCTTGATCACTATTTTCATAAAAAGTATTTATTTTGTTATAATTAATATATTTTATTTTTAATACTGTTCAAATGATTTTACAATTTTACTGGAGTAGGTAGGCATTTATTATTATAAAACCTATTACTATTATTAATAGATTAAAGCAGCTTTTGTACATGGTGAAAAAGACTATCCCTCACTTCCGTTTGTCTATTTTTTATATAAAATTATACAATATATATAATAAATGCATTTTACTTTATTCAAAGGATTTTAATATTAATAATTAGATGTGATCTTTTAAGCAATTTTTTGATATGAATTATTCTATTTCCTAAATTAATTTTTATATTATTTTTATCTCTTTTTTATTATAATTACTAATTATTGCTAACCTGCTATTATTTTTGTTACATACTATTTTTTTGCAATAAACTTTTTCCTTATATTTATTAGTTATCTTATTTTGCTTTTAAATATTCATTGCTCGATTTTTTTAATATCATATTTTCTACATATTATTTTAACCCTTCAGTAGGATTTAAAGTATTATTATTATTTTACAAATCACTTTCTATCAAACCGCTACTTAAATTATTTTTTATTTCTATTTTATTATTATTTCTTTATTTATTTTGAATGTATAACGGGTTATTTTTTATAAATATTTATGTTCCTTTTTTTATTTTGGTCTTTGTTTTTAATTATTTTTTTAGTTTACCTATGTTTGGCTGTATATTTTCTAAATTAGTAGGATTTTTTTTATTTATTTTTGAACTATTCAAATTAGAATATGAATCCATTTTTTTTTTTTAATAGATTATTCAATACAATTATTTTAGTTTTTTTTTTATTTATTTAAAAAAAAATAAATGATTATTTTTTTATTTGCAGGTATTTTTTTATATTATAAATATATTTGAATGATTATTATTTTTTTTGTTTAAAAAGAATTTTTAACTGAATTAAGTGATTTAAAAATTATTTTATTAAAAAGTTATTTAAAAAAAAATATATCAATTATTTATATTTTTTAAATTAACATGTAAAATATATATCAAAATACAATGAAATAAGTATATATAATTTTTTTTTTTTTTAAAAAAAAAAATATAATTTATATTATATATAATTTAAAAATTATTTATTTATTGTAATTATTTTTATTTTATTTTTTTCACTCAGCAACATAAGAAACTAAATTGCGATTTTTTTTACAAGGGCTCATCTAATTATTTATTCTTTTGTTTATATTAAGGTATTTTTTTATAGTTCTAATAATTTTTACAATAATTTTATGAAATACTTTCATAATACATTAAATTAGGACTACTATTATAAATTTTTGTACTATTACTATTAGAATTATTAGTTTCTAAAATATCGGAATTAGAAACTGAACTTTTAGAGAATTATTTCTAATACATTATATCATTATTTTATTCACAAATTATAGGCTAATTCATTAAAGCTAGATTATTATATTTTTAAATGCTTTTTATTAACATATCTTTTTCAAGGACTTTTTATAAAATAAAAAAAGAAAAATATGAATGGTAATTTTTAACAAATACATTTATATATTTTATCAAAATTGTATAATATATAAAATATTATACCTGGTATATAATCTTTTGGAAGTCCTGATTTTTTTGCTATTCTTATATTCCATTTAGAAGTTTCAGTATTGATTTATAGAATAGTTTTTTATTTTTTTAATTAAAATTATATTTCTCTTATTATTATTATAATAGAATATTCTACAGTTTATTCTAAATCTAATAAGATATCAAAGAAATTCTTTTAAAGACTTATTTTAGTAAAAATGAAAATCCTGAACTTTTTAAATGAATCTAATATCTTTTTTTATCGATTAATTTTAATTATTTTTAATAAAATAATTAATTAAATATTTATATTTTTTATAAAAAAATAAAAAATCTCATTTTTTAACATTTTATTTTGAGTCCTCTTTTTATTCTAGATTAATTTGCTATTTATATGAGGCTTTATTTTTAAAAATTAAAATATGGTTAATTAAATTTAAAATAAATAATAAAAAATGTTTGATAATATATTTACTGATAGTATTTTCTCTAACATCACATATATAATTATCCATTATTAATATTTAGTAAAAAACTAAAAAAAAATAAAAAAAATTAATTAATATTATATTATTATTTTTTTAAAGAAATTTTGGGATATTTTTTATTAATAAAAAAATAATTTATAATCAATAAAATTTTTAAAAGAATATATTATTAATATTTTATGAATTTTTAAAATAGAAAAAAATAAATATTATGTGTCATCATCATAAGATAAATATAATTTTTAAATTTAACTAATCGATAAATTTAATATAAAATATAATATTTTTTCAAAAAATAAAAATATTTATTTTTATATTATTTTTATGTAATACTATCATAAAAATTTAAAATATATATATATAATTTTTTTATTTTATTTAATTTTCTTATATTATTAAAAAACTTATTATAGTTTTTTAAAAAAAATAAAAATATAAACTTTAATTTATAAAAAATGAATCAAATAATTTAAATATTAATATATTTTTTATAATTAAATAATAAAACTTCATAAAATATTTATTTAATTTGAAATTAATATTTTAAATTATATTAAACTCTTAATATAATTTTAAATTTTATATTTATATATAAATTAATGTGTTTTCAATTATAAATTTTAAAAGTTTTAACTTTTATTTTAAAGATTTAAGAAAAATAATTATTAAAATAAAATACAAAATAATTATTATTTTTTTGTTTTAATATTAATATAATTTTTATTTATAAATAAATATATTGCACTTTCTTAAAAATTATAAAAACCAACATTTTGAATATTTAGAATTTATGAGAGTATTTTTAAACATAGGAAAAATATATATAGTGTTATTTATATGTAAATTATATTACAATTTTGATTTTTTTTATATATAAAAATTAAAATAATGATTAAATAGAAAATTATAAATATAAAAATATGTTTATTATTTATTTTATAATATTAATATGTTTTAATTATCTAAAAAATACTTTAAATTTTTCTATTATACCTAAAATTGCCTGAATCAAACAATTTAATTTAAATAATACAAAATGATTAAGAATAATTATATAAAATATAATAAATGTTTTTTTTTAAATACAAATTTTTTATAAAACCCAAAAAAAAAATTTACATAGTAAAGGATATCTTAAGTATTTTATAAAAGCAAAGGAGAAATATAAAAAATTAAATATGATATACATTTATATTTACATAAATATAAATAATTAACGTAGTAAGATAAAATATAATTAAATAAAATAAAATAAAATAAAATAAAATAAAATAAGAGCTTTTTTATTTTATAATATAAATAATTAATACTAAAATAATAATATTTATTTAAAATATTAATAAATACCGATTAAAATATATAGAGCACATAATATTTAATAAAAAAAACTTAACTTAATTATAATTTTTAGAAAAAAATAATAATATAAGAAGCAAATTCAAAATAAAAAATATCAAACAAAAATATATTAATAAAGGGTTTAAAAAAATAAAACTCTTTTAATCACCGGTTAATTTTAATAAACTAAGTTTTATAAATTATCAAATTTACAAAAAATTGAAGTTAGTGAGGAAATCAGCATAATATTAAGAGTTATGAGATTTTATTAATTTCTAAAATTAATATAAAATAAATAAAAGAAAAATGAATAAATAAAAAAATTCTTATTAGAAAAAATAAAAAAAAACAGATCAATATGTTTTATTTTTGAGAAAAAAAATAAAAATATAATATAATTATTAAAAATAAAATAAATG